ACATTCACTGAGGAGGATGGTCCTCCCCTTCCTCCTCTGATGAGCCTCCACTGTTGAGGACAGATAAAGTTTCAGTACAGTTGCTCTAATGCTCCAACCTCTTAACATTTCCTCTCTGAAGATAACTTTGACAAGCAGCATCAGCTCGTGCTGTCAACAATGTAACACTGATTCTGGCTCTTGCAGCCTTTACAACCGTGGTATGATTGTCGGTGCCAGGCGCGCGCCGGTTCCAGTATCTCAGAAACGGCCCACCTCCTGGTCTTTTCACGCACGACAGTGTCTAGGGTTTACAGAGAATGCTGCGTCAAACAAAAAACATCCAGTCAGTGGTTGTTCTGTGGGCGGAAACAGCTAGTTGATGAGAGAGGTCGAAGGAGAATAGCAAGAATTGTGCAAGCTAACAGGCGCCACAAACAGGGAAATACCGGTGCAGTACAACAGTGTTGTGCAGAACAGCATCTCAGAACACACAACTCGTTGGTCCTTGTCACGGATGGGCTATTGCAGCAAATGACCACACCGGGTTCCACTCCTACCAGCTAAAAACAAGAGGAAGCGTCCAGTGGGCACGCGATCACCAACACTGGACAATTGAGGAGTGGAAAAACATCGCCTGGTCAGATGAATCCTGGTTCCTGTTTCATCATGCTGATGGCAGAGTCAGGATTTGGCATAAGCAGCATGAATCCATGGCCCCATCCTGCATGGTGTCAACGGTACAGGCAGGTGGCGGTGGTGTAATGGTGTGGGGAATGTTTTCCTGGCACACGTTTGGTTCCTTGATACCAATTGAGCAACGTTTGAACGCTACACCTTGTAGAATCCATGCCCCAAATAATTCTGGCTATTCTGGAGGCAAAGGGGGTTCCGACCTGGTACTAGATGGGTGTACCTAATAAACTGTCCTGTAAAGGCTACCTCAACCTGCATGACATGAGCCGTCCTCTCGTTCTCTCCCAGTTTGGATAGAAAGTTGTTGTGTGTAAAAACAGTCTATTAATGCCGAATAATACAGTTAGTCCACCCTCAAAACAGTAGCTTACTACAACCACACAACTCAAACGCCGGTTCACCAGTTTGAACGAAAATCGCAAATCACTTGATATGATCACCTGTTTGCATCTGCCAATTTATTGGTTGTCCAGTATCCAGAAGACCTGTCCCCAGAGCTTCCTATACAGTTAACCTCTTTCCGTAACGTGTTGAGGCCGGCCATTAAGGAGAATGAGAAGCTCAATTAAAGATGTGAAGGACGTTGAAGCACCACCTTCTGCCCAGTTTCCCTGATGTTTCTACGGAAATCAAGCTGTTTTTACCATCCCTGTAACTGTCGCTTCTGCTGAATGATCGTTTTCTAAACTAAAACTAATAAAGAACTACCTAAGAAGCATTAGGCTCGGTCTGATATGAGGTTTTGAATACCTGAGTAAGCTCCACTCATTGCACTGGCGCCGTGGTAGCCTTGACCACAGCATTTGTTTGCCGATATCACCCTTTTACTTTCAATCAGTTCAATTTGTTATTTTTCAAGACCTGGGGCACTTTTTCCAGTCACATTCCTGAAGCCCAAGAAACAAACACTTAGCTTTCTAGTACATATGGAAATTAAAGTGGTTTATGAATGAATGACTTTCGCCTCTGATAGACTGTTTATTTGACTTTCAGAAAGCGGAGAATGAGAAGAGACTTCTGGAAAATCAGACAGAGATTATGGAAATGGTCAGTATACTGTACATCATGATTGAACCATTCCACTTTAGAGCTCTTAATGTATTACTTCATTCACCAAACATGTGTAGCACCCATCTTAATGATGTCTTTCCCCCATTTTTTTGTTATTTATGTGTTATGATCAGAAACATATCTATGGTTTATGTGACTAATATCCAAGTTTGTCTGTTGTAGAATGCTGAGCAAGATCGTAATTTGACTCAGTCCAATATGGCAGGACTGAAAACCATGTTTGAATTTCACAAACTTGACACTATCAAATACCTTGCAGAAAATAAGTAAAGAGTGAACTTTGGTTTTAGAAGTGGGAGGGACATTATACATAAACTCAGCAAAAAAAGAAACATCCCCTTTTCAGGACCCTGTCTTTCAAAGATCATTCGTAAAAATCAAAATAATTTCACAGATCTTCATTGTAAAGTTTTTAAACACTGTTTCCCATGCTTGTTCAATGAATCATAAACAATTAATGAACATACACCTGTGGAACGGTCGTTAAGACACTAACAGCTTACAGAAGGTAGGCAATTAAGGTCACAGTTATGAAAACTTAGGACACTAAAGAGGCCTTTCTACTGATTCTGAAAAACACCAAAAGAAAGATGCTAAGGGTCCCTGCTCATCTGCGTGAACTTGTCTTAGGCATGCTGCAAGGAGGCATGAGGACTGCAGATGTGGCCAGGGCAATACATTGCAATGTCCGTACTGTGAGACGCCTAAGACAGCGCTACAGGGAGACAGGGCGGACAGCTGATCGTCCTCGCAGTGGCAGACCATGTGTAACAACACCTGCACAGGATCGGTACATCCAAACATCACACCTGCAGGACAGGTACAGGATGGCAACAACAACTGCCCGAGTTACACCAGGGACACACAATCCCTCCATCAGTGCTCAGACTGTCCGCAATAGGCTGAGAGAGGCTGGACTGATGGCTTGTAGGCCTGTTGTAAGGCAGGTCCTCACCAGACATCACCGGCAACAACATCGCCTATGGGCACAAACCCACCGTCACTAGACCAGACAGGACTGGCAAAAAGTGCTCTTCACTCACGAGTCGCAGTTTTGTCTCACCAGGGGTTATGGTCGGATTCGCGTTTATCGTCGAAGGAATGAGCGTTACACCGAGGCCTGTACTCTGGAGTGGGATTGATTTGGAGGTGGAGGGTCCGTCATGGTCTGGGGCGGTGTGTCACAGCATCATCGGACTGAGCTTGTTGTCATTGCAGGCAATCTCAACGCTGTGCGTTACAGGGAAGACATCCTCCTCCCTCATGTGGTATCCTTCCTGTAGGCTCATCCTGACATGACCCTCCAGCATGACAATGCCACCAGCCATATTGCTCGTTCTGTGCGTGATTTCCTGCAAGACAGGAATGTCAGTGTTCTGCCATGGCCAGCGAAGAGCCCGGATCTCAATCCCATTGAGTACGTCTGGGACCTGTTGGATTGGAGGGTGAGGGCTAGGGCCAACTTGCAGGTGCCTTGGTGGAAGAGTGGGGTAACATCTCACAGCAAGAACTGGCAAATCTGGTGCAGTCCATGAGGAGGAGATGCACTGCAGTACTTAATGCAGCTGGTGGCCACACCAGATACTGACTGTTACTTTTTGATTTTGACCCCCCCTTTGTTCAGGGACACATTATTCAATTTCTGTAGTCACATGTCTGTTTAACTTGTTCAGTTTATGTCTCAGTTATTTAATCTTGTTATGTTCATACAAATATTTACACATATTAAGTTTGCTGAAAATAAATGCAGTTGACAGTGAGAGGACGTTTCTTTTTTTGCTGAGTTTTATATATTTTTTATCCAGTCGGATAAACACTCCAAACAGCCTACCCGACCGCTCGGAGGCGTCCGCATGTTCCTAAAGCACATGTTGCCTCGTGTTGTATCACATTCCAATGATAAAACTGGGGGGAGGGGGACAAAAATGCAATTTCAGAATGTGGGGGGGACATGTCTTCCCTGTCCCCAGTGAAAGTTGCGCTCCTGCATAATTGTAATCATGGATTATTGTCTTTTCTCATTTGCTCAATAAAAATACACATGGGAAGTGCAATACTATACATTCTGGATAACATACTGTGGCCCTCGAATGAAATTGGATATCAGCTATAACTACTGATATTTCCTCAGTCCTACTAATTGTCTATCTCTGATTTTGGTCAACTAAACGTCACTTTTGGCCATAGGCGATGAACAAGTTCTGACTGATGGACTCCTCCCATGTCTTTTAGGTTCAGTCTTCATTTGTCTCACTGTGGTTCTGGGATTCTATCGCAGCTGGATGAGAAACCGGTGAGTAGAGGAAGAGCTGGTCATCTGTACCACTGTAGCTAAAAAAGAACCCATTTGGACTGCCACCATTTTGTGTTTGATAAAAGTCAGTCACTATAGGACCAAATAACCACTGGCCTATGACATGAAAAGCAAGCAGAGAAAATGCTTGGATGTGTATTGACATTGAAATGTCTAGTTTGAGGACCAAACCATGAAATGCGGAAAGCTGCATTGTCCAACTATCTCCTGTATTTGTAATTTGTCTGGTGTGTTTTCATATTACAGAGTACCCTACAAAATGAATGAAAAGTTATTTATGATAGGATCTTGACAACAGATATGAACATATTGCAATTTATATTAATGCATTATTTTCATGCACTGTTCAGTAAGAAACCTGTGTATTTTGTGTTTGAGTATGCTGTAGAAATTCATCGATATTTGTGCAATACTGTCCAAAGTGTGCATTTCTGGCTATGTATTCACAGTAAAGAAACTTGCTATGATGCAGCTCCATATTCTAACTCAATTGTTTAAATACTAGGGGACTCTGGTGAGTCATTGAACACACATTCAATTTCTCTACAGTCCAATGGATGTTTTTAATGACAAGATATTGTAAAACTGTATAATATAATATAATATAATATAATATAATATAATATAATATAATATAATATAATAATAAAAATTAATATAATATAATATGCTATTTAGCAGACGCTTTTATCCAAAGCGACTTACAGTCATGTGTGCATACATTTTTACGTATGGGTGGTCCCGGGGAATGTCAGTGCAGTATGAAGGAAAGCATCACTTAAGTATGACTTAAGTATATAAAAGATAATTTTGCCCATATCAGACTTGTTTTTTTATAATGATTATTTACTATCCCAGAGGAATAATCATCTTTGCACAGGGGACCTTTATTGTGAAATGTGACAGAAACAACCCGGAAGTTATTTCCTGTGGTCCTACACATGTGTTTACATCGGTAAGCTTAGCCTGTCAGGTATAATGCAATTTATCGTAGTTTGTTATCTGATTTAACGAATACTTTATTATGGTGGTCTTTATGAGAAACTTGCACCCAATACTGCCTATGCCTGGGTCACCTCTCTAAAATATTTAATTTGACATCACGTTGGGTCATCATTTACGAGCTAGCTAGCACGTAGCTAGCATACAGTAGCCTGTATCGACACATAATAAATTGCAGATACACAGCAGAAATTCCATGTTTTGTTGTAGTAGCATTTATCATAGACAAGGAAATGCATATTGAGCCTTCATGATCATCTTGCTACATTTTTAACAAAGTGCATCCGGTGATTGTGTGGTCCTTGGGATGAGATGCTAATTCCACTAGCTATTTTCTATTCCTAGATGTTACAATGACGGATGCATTCAGCACCAACAGTGAGCTGGTTCTTCAGCGCGTGCTGGGCGTGACATCAGAGAAGAATGTTCACTCTGGGAATCTAGATGAGCTTTATCAGATCAAGGAGACATGCCATTTCATCAACGATCATCAGTTCAAAAAGGTATGAGGATCCAACAACGCAGTTGCTAGCTAACTAGCTACATAAATTGTCACTTGAATAACAGTTTGTGTGTGTGTGTGTGTGTGTGTGTAGGCTAGTTATGAATAATTTGTGCTTTAGGTTGCCATGCAATTTCCAGATGAGGTGCTGGTTGATTCAATAGCAATTGCTGCAGAGATAGAGAAGGGAACCAAAGCAAAACTATTCATCCTTGGAGACACATCCTATGGCAGGTAGGAAACATTTTTGTGTCGTTATCAAAAACATGAAATTGATAGAAATTTCAACTTATTTAATTATATCTTATTGAATGAGACTAGTGCATTTGCAAGCATTCGTTTGGCCAGAATCACCATTGCCATTATTTGTTTTAATAATTTGAGATTCATCACTATAACCTTATTGTCAATACTCTTGATATTTCCAGTTGTTGTGTGGATGAAGTTGCAGCGGAGCATGTGGGCGCAGACTGCATTGTGCACTACGGAAGGGCTTGTCTCAGCCCGTCCAGAAGACTCCCACTGATGTACGTCTTTGAGAGGAGACCTGTGGTCCTGGAGACGTGTGCCTCCTCCTTCAGAGAGCTCTACCCCGACAGACAGAGTCACGTCATCCTCCTGTACGATGTCAACTATGCTCACATTAATGGTAAGCCTCTCAGCTTCAAACAATGACGTATGTCCCATTTGTCCCATTGTGTGAATGTTTTTTAAGACTGGAAACTTTGAGTTTGTGATATCCTTACAAAGGAATGTGAGCGATTTATACTTTTTTCCTCAGGTTGCATTGCGGCATAGTTTTAGAAATATATTAAAATGAGATATGTGTTTCAACACATTTTAGCAACTTACTTAATACTGATTTATAGCATGATAATGTCTCTCCTCAGACGATCTTCTGGCACTGCTGTCCTCTGAGTATCCGAACATTGCCGCCTCAACCCTTCACGTGGACGGAGAACTTTGCTACAGTCACGGACAAAGATATGGACAACACAATGTCAGCAGTTCTCAGTGTCAAAACGGTGATCAAGTCGTTCACCAGTTCGGAAGGCAGTTTGTCTTGAAATGTGGACAGACCGTTGAGGACTACAGTGTGTTCTTTATCGGCCACGAAGGTGCAACCTTGACAAACTTCATGATGACTTGGAACCGCTGCTCTTTCTACTCTTTTGACCCTGTAACAATGACAGGGCGGACTGAGTCGATCAGTATCAACAAAGCTTTGATGAAGCGATATTACGCAATAGAGAGGGCAAAGGATGCCAGTGTGGTGGGCATTCTTGTGGGCACACTTGGCGTGGCAAACTACCTCACTATCATCGAGCAGCTGAAAGAAACCATCCACAGAGCTGGGAAAAAGAGCTACATGTTTGCCATGGGGAAACTGAATGTTGCCAAACTGGCTAACTTTCTTGAGATTGACATTTATGTACTGATCGCATGTCCTGAGAACTCTCTGTTGGACTCCAGTGAGTTCTACAAACCGGTCGTGACCCCCTTTGAAATGGAGGTGGCCTGCAACAAAAACAGGGAATGGTCGGGAGAGTATGTCACAGACTTCCGCGATCTGCTTCCAGGTAGGATCTGATTGACATTGATTTGTTCCTGAATTAAAGTTTTGTGAGCAAGAATAGACATGGTGCTGTACTGTGCGTATCTTAGCCTGGTCCCAGATCTGTTTATGTCATCATGCCAGGAGTTGGCAAGACAATACAAACAGATCTGGGACCAGGCCATAGGTATCAAGACTAATAGTAAAACCTGTTGTAGGTGGATCTAAGCATGTGGCCTTGGCGAACCCTGACGACCTCGAGGACGGTGATGAGACTGATGTCTCCCTCATCACTGGAGCTCTACGAACGACCCACTTCTCGTCCAGTGAGCCAGTGTCTTCCTCACTCGTCCTACGGAACCAGGCGCTCACTGTGGCCAATGCTAACACAGCTGGTACGATATATGGGAAAAATAGACATAAATATCTAAAACTAGTCTAAATTCACAGAATCGTGACAGGCTCCGTTGGGTTGGGGTTTAAACTCCACTCTGGGATTGCAAGACCATTAATAAAGATGCTGTTGAGTGATTACTTTTCTTGAGTTACAATTTTCATATTTCCTTCATCTGTTTGTTTTAGCCACGTTCCTGGCAGGTCGTAGCTGGCAGGGACTGGAGCAGAAACTGGGAGAAACACCGGTGGTGAAAGCATTAGAGGGAAGGAAAGGCATTGCCATTGCCTACGAAGAGGAGCCGATGACTGACAGGGACCATTCATCATGAAGGCACTCATCACATCCAGATTATTAGTCCTCATTGCTCATTTTTTACACATAATATCAATCAATATATTATGTTGCTTCATAGCTCAACAGTTTCCAATTTAAGTAATCAATCTTCTGACAAATTGAAGGCCTTACCAGGATTATTGCATAACTAAGCTTTATCAGGTGCATTATATTCGTGTAAGTCACATCAACATAGGCTTTTTTTTTTACGGCGACACTGAAGTGTGTCATGGAGGGAGAACTGAAAAGCGCAAGCCTTTTCCTGTTATTTATGCTTTTTTGTTAACATCTCTTAGACTTGAAGCATACGAATATAAAGGTTTATAGATTAGTTGCGTCAACAACAAAAAATGCCTGTCAAGAAATATGCAGCTAGTGTAGCAGTGCTTTGAATGTGATGACTGTCACAGTACAACATAACTTTAACTGTTTTTAAGGGTGCGTTCGTAAATTCAAACTCGAGTGCCAGTGCGCTCAGAGTGTGCTCTGGGTGTTCGTAAATTCAGAGCTTTGTCAGATTGTCCATTCGTAAATTCTGAGTGTTTCGCTCTCGGAGCGTTCAGAGCGCACACTGGACGCTCTGGCCGAGGAGTAGGGTTGATCCGAGCATTCTGACAACACAGCAGTCAAGCACCCAAGCTAACTGGCTAACGTTGGCTAGCTTGCTAGCTACTTCCAGACACAAATGAGAGAACACCTCACTCTGACCATTTTACTCGCCCTAGCAGAGCTGTTTCCATGTTAGCCAGAGCATTGGTGTCTGTAACTGTGCTGCTGGCAACAATTTAATGACGCTTTTTTGCCGACGTTTGTAAATTCATCAGTTATTCTGCGCTCTGGCACACTCAGACGAGAGTGCTCTGAAATCGGAGTAGATAGCCAGAGCGAATTTACGAACGCACCCTAAATGAAACAGATAGAACTTTGAAAATGTGAGACCACATACTTGGACTTAAATGCACTCATCACTGTTGTGAATACACATAATTATTATTATTTATTCAACAACTTTTTGCTCTATGTACTGTAAATCACAATTGAGATATACAAAAGAGATATATTCAAGTTATGTCTGATTTTATTTTTTAATTCAAATCAATATAGACTATTGGTGTTAGATCAATCGCAGTTTAAATTAATTGCTGACCATCAAATGTGCTCTGAAAGCTGTTTTCCTGTACACTGGAATTCAGAATAGTCTATGGCTATACCCAATGTTTAATTTGTTTAACAATGACATAAGAAAATAACTTAGACTTAGCAGAACTAAATTTTTTCTGAGGAAACTTCATTTTTTGTTGTCCGATACATACACATAACAAATAATTAAAAACATACTACTGCATTACATTCAAATACGTAGAAAACCAGGGCATGCTTGATTTGTGCCTGCCAAAACGGTTATTGAAACTTCATACTTTAACAATAACATCACATAAATCAGTAAATATCAGCCTAGCGAAGAAAAGTCCTTAGGTAATGACGTTTCGGACCTAAATGCCTTCCCTCAATGTAAATGTATAAATCGGACTTTGTGTCTGCTTCTGTACGTTTTTCTTTGATGATGGTTGGCGGTATCCAGATTTGAACAAAGACAAAGTAGAAATAACAAATCCCACAATCTCGATAAAGTCATTGTTCCTTAGTCTTTTGTTCTGATCATATTATTTATCTTTCATGGGAACTTCTTCAACGAAGGATGCCGGGAATATGCCAATCTTTCCGTTGCACTGTCCCTCAAACCAGTCTTCATTGACTGAAAAGAAAGTAATGAAAATGGAAATTCTGAATTTTAAGAAAACAGTAGGTTACAGCTCATCCAGGATATCATCTAATAACAGGATAATAAACACTGACACAACTGATTTGTGCATTGTCGAAATGGTGCCCTGCATGAGAGAAATTGGTTGCTCACCTTTGGAGAGAAGTAAGATGGTATCTCCTTGATGGAACTCAAGGTCCTCTGGAGTTGAAGACTCGTAGGAATGAAGAGCCATCAGGTGAGTCTGGCTTTGCAGCTGCTCACTCATACCCTGTAGTGTAGATTACATGAAATAAGGGTAACAAGTACCCATGATGACATCTGTCGGCACTAAATTGTCTTGTCAGTCAAGTTTTATATCCCATACCCTCTTTTTCTAGGAGTTGACCATTATATTTGTAACTTAAAAGTCCACATAGCAAACAACTTACTGTATGACCACATTACCTCTTTGAGCTCACACCACAGTGTTAGACGACCATTGTGGACACCGCTCCAAACATCTTCCATCCTCGTGTCCTCATCAATCACTATTTTACCAGAATCTATGTGGGCATAGCTTGAGAAAAATCACACAAAAACCCTGAGCTTGGTTTTGTAACGGTAATGAATGTTGAATTAAAGTTTTGAAGCTAATGTTTAAACAGTGCCATACCTCAAGGTGATTGCCATGGCAGGAAGGCCCAGTTTGTTACTGATTTTCTCCAGAATGGTTGTGTAGGGAAGTCCAGGCACCATGCAGATTGCTATGGTGTATGTGAAGTGCACTTTCACTACACACAGTGAAGATTCATTTGACTCTTCAATCTGGCAAGACTAGGGAATGAAATAAATGTACAATGATATTTTAAATTTGTACTGATAAACAATTGGTATCTACTTTGGATATTGCATGCTGTAAATTTTTTATTTAATAATGTGTTGAGATCTATTTTGAATAATTCTCATACCTCTGTTTCTGTGTCCCCGATGCTCTGATTTTCAGCAGCCAAAGCTGTTACAAAAAGACCCCCCCAAAAGTAAAGTTATTTGTTGCATAGCCAATAATTAAAACGTTAGCTATACAACTTTCATTCCATATTTTTACATAACAGATCTTTACCAGATTTTCTCTGAGGTCTCGTCGGTGGTTCTCGTCTAGGTGGCGTTGGGGAGTCATCCTTGTCTGTCCCATCCTACAAGAAAGCAATCAACCCACATAGGAGGAATCAATTAACATAGCAATTGAAGGGTATGCTTTACCAGAATTTTAGGGATTGCACCTTAAAGGATTTCAAATTTGTTATAGCCCAGCATTGACACACACAGGTGTTTGAGTCAATGCCATCTTGTGATGAGGAAAAAACACAAACTAGATGGTAGAAATGTACCTGATCTTGCTTAGATGATAAGGTTATTTCCAAACGCTCCAGGAAATTATAAGGAACAAGCCCCCTCTAAAAATGTAAAGGTTAAATGAATTAACTGAACACATCGTATAATTTTTTGAATAAGGATGCTCGTAATCAACCGAGTGTCTATCACATAAAGAGAACAATAGATGTACATTTTTAATTCAAAGCATTTTTTCAGTGTAATGTTTGTAATCATACTCTTTCATTGAAGATGACAGATGCCCAGTTGTCTGCTCCGTTGTTCAGCACAAAGACGATGTTGCCAGGTACCACAGCTAACTCATCACTTGTCTCAGGGACAAACTCAAAGAGGACAGTGTGAGGCTCACCCTCCTCCAGAGCCCTGTGGGGGGCGACAGAGATATCCTGCATTGATATCCGGCACTGTTTCTACATGCTAACGTTTTAGCATTTTTGCCACAAATCCCATTCAAGTCATGGGACCGATATTAGCATTTGTATCGCATAATTTTCAATACATTTATAAGTGACTTTGTTGAGCTTCACAATCAATTTAAAATACTTTCGGATTATTTGGACATGATGCGTGAACATTTATAATATTGCTCCCATGACTTGAAAGGGATTTGTGCCACAAATGCTAAAATGTTAGGATGTGGAAACAATACTAGGGAAACTAAACCAAAGCATGGATTGCCGTCATAACTTTACATTTTAATTGCACTATAACGCTGAACTTCCGCGATACGGATTGAATCGTGTCAAACCAGCCCCACAGTCTCTGCTAGAATTAACATCAAGATCACATTAACTTTACCTCAGAACTTCAGGCACCTTTGGTCTGGTAGGAACCTCTTCAACCTATTCTCACCGTAGAAAATAGCACATCCCATTACACTGTTACACTGAATATTCCTCCTCTATCAATTGTTCCATTTTAATTGTTGATAGTTTTTATTTTAATTGATCGTAAAAAATAATAATTGTTGATCATTTTTAAGGCACTATTAAAACATCACATCAAATCATATGATACTTCACCTGTGGCTGTAACGGAGCAAAGCCAGAAAACTCATCCTGGAAGACGATGGAAGAAACAACCTGAGAATAGAGAATAAAACAGGTTCAACATGAAACAATACTTTATGAAATGCCTACTGATAAAGTGCCAAATATCTAACTAAAGAAAAAACCAAAGCAACACATTTTAATTGCACATTTCAATCCAATTAGGTAATTGACATGCATTTTGTATACACATCTACAAAGTCGCAACATTTTGCCTGTTTAAGATACAGTGCCTATAGAAAGTATACACCCCCTTTAACTTTTTTCACATTTTGTTGCATTAAAAAGTGGGATTGAAGTATATTTAATTACATTTTTTGTCATTGATCTACACAAAATACTCCATAATGTCAAAGTGAAAAGGAAATTCTGCAAATTTGTACAAATTAATAAAAATGAAAAACCTAAAATATAGTTGTAAGTATTCACACCCTTTGTTTAGGCAAGCAAGCATAAATTAGTTCAGAAGTAAAATTTGGCTTAACAAATCACATAATAAATTATATGGAATCACTCTTTGTGAAATAATAGGGGTTGAATTTATTTTTGAATGACTAGCCCTTCCTCTGTCTCCCATACAGTGTATTCAGAAAGTATTCACACCCCTTGAGAGTTTCCATATTTTGTTGTGTTACAGCCTGAATATAAAATTGATTTAATTTAGATTTTGTGTCACTGGCCTACCCACAATACCCCATAATGTTAAAGTGAAATTATGTTTTTTGAAATTTTTACAAATTAATAAAAAATGAAAAGCTGAAATGTATTGAATACATTTGCAAACATTTCTAAAAACATGTTTTCACTTTGTCATGATGGGGTATTGTGTGTAGAAAAACAACAATTGAATCCATTTTGAATTCAGGCTGTAACACAACAAAATGTGGAATAAGTCAAGGGGTATAAATTGGCTACTTTCTGTAAGGTCCCTCAGTCAAGTATTTCATTTCAAGCACAGATTCAACTACAACGACCAGGGAGCTTTTCGAAAGCCTCATAAAGAAGAGCAATGATTGGTAGATGGGTAACAATAACAATTCAGACATTGAATACATCTTTAAGCATGGTCAAGTTAATAATTATGCTGTGGATGACTTATTAAACCACCCAGACACATCAAAGATGCAGTCGTCCTTCTGAACTGAGCTGCAGGATAGGAAGGAAACTGCTTAGGGATGTCACCATGAGGCCATTGGTGATTTTAAAAAAGCTACAGAGTTCAATGTCTGTGATGGGAGAAAACTGAGGATGGATCAACAAATTGTAGTGACTCCACAATAATGACGTGACGTAAATGACAAAATACGAATATTCCAAAACATGCATATTTATGTAACAAGGCACGAAAGTAATACTGCAAAAACACACAACAAAAGAATACACTTATTTTCAAGCATGATGGTGGCTGCATCATGGTATGGGTATGCTTGACATCGGCAAAAACTGGGGAGTTTCTCAGGATAAAAAGAAGCTAAGCACAGGCAAAATCCTAGAGGAAAACCTGCTTCAGCTTTACACCAGACACTGGGAGAGGAATTTACCTTTCAGCAGGACAATAACCTACAACACAAAGCCAAATCTACACTGTAGTTGCTTACCAAGAAGACAGTGTATGTTCCCCAGTGGCCAAGTTACAGTTTTGACCTAAATCTGCTTGAAAATATATGGCAAGACTTGAAAATTGCTGTCTAGCCATGATCACCTTGACAGAGCTTGAATAATTTTTAACAGAATAATGGGCAAATATTGCACAATACAGGAGTGCAAAGGTCTTATGAGACTTACCCAAAAAGACTCTCAGCTGTAATCGCTGCCAAAGGTGTTTCTAGCATGTATTGACTCAGGGGAGGGGGGGTCAATACTTATCTAAGCAAGGTATATTAGTGTTTTACTTTTCATTAATCTTTTAAAAAATATATACTTTTTCTTCAACTTTGACATTACAAAGTATTTTGTGTAGATCGTTGACAAAAAATAACAATTAAATCCATTTTATTCCCACTTTGTAACACAATAACATTTGAAGAAATCCAAAGGGGGGTGTAGACTTTCTATAGGCACTGTATGTTTTATTTTGAGAGAGAGATGAAATGGATACCTTGGCCTTGCCCAGGTAGTCCTTCTTCTCCAGTTCAGCCACGTAATGCTTGTTTGGCTTGAACAGAACTTTCGCCGGGACCTCAACTGGCTCAAACAGCTTCTGCTTCTATAGGAGTAACATAGGATTTACAGAGGATCACCAACTTTGTTGAACACTCAGACACAGTGAAAATGCATAATAACTACATGTTAATACACTTTTCACAATACTGAGCCGAGCTGCCTGGCCTGGTTACTCATTCACTATAGTTGCTGGAACTGTGCTGGAACGAACAATATAAAAAAGAACAATCCAAGCCAGTATGGTTTGGGTCAACATGATAATGTGAAAAAGGTGTAATAGAGAAGGGCCACTGACCAAGATGCACTCCAGACCTCTGTCGATGTGGCTGAGTTTGCCCTCGGTCCTGAGGTTCAGAGCAGTCAGGAGGGTCTCCTTGGCTTTCCCCCACTGACCCAGCTGAGCATGGGCCTGCGCCATGTTGTGCAGTACCTGTGGGAGTGATACCAGTCACAAAAAAAGTGTTATTGTTGTAGTAAAACTACAGCTATACAGCACTTCCCCCCAGATCTCAAAGTGCTTTACATTGAAACACCCACCTATGCACTGCAGCTATTGTTCTCTGCGTGTACATACTGTGATGTTGGGATAGGTTGCTGTCCCAACACCAATTATTGTTACACTGGCAAGACTTCCATCACATCTTTACCTGGACTCACCTCACAAGCATATAATTTGTATCTCAGACCAAGAGGTTTGTAGTCGATCAGCTGGTTCCCCCTCAACTCCCTGAAGGCATGTTGGAAATCAGCAAAAGACTCCTCATACCTGTAGGCAAAATGAAGAGAAATCCATAAGTCATTCACTATCCTGCTATACACTTAAAAAAGGGGTTCCAAAAGGGCTATTTGGCTGTCCCCATAGGATAACCCTTTTTGGTTCAAGGTAGAACCCTTTTTGGTTCCAGGTAGAACTCTTTTGGGTTTCATGCAGAACCCTCTGTGGAAAGGGTTCTACACGGAACTCAAAATTGTTTTACCTGGAAACAAAAAGTGTTCGTCAAAGGGTTCTCCTATGGGGACAGCCAAATAACCCTTTTATGTTCAAGATATAACTTTTTTTCCTAAGAGTGTATGTCTGTGAATTGATGATTCATTTTAACACACCATTTGAAAGTATGGGATAATGTTTTTAATGTTTTATTATAATGCATCCAATCACCCATCCATAATATGATAGATTTGTCTTGCCTCTCCTTTTTGTAGAACGTCAATGCCCTTTGAAAGAATGCAACAGCCAAGTGTTCATCCTTTCCGATACTGCCATCGAAAGCCTGCGCAATATTCAGAAGAAACTCAGTGACTTCCTCCCAATGAAATAGTAGGCTGTCACAAGTATTGTGTACTATAACGGCACTTCCCCTTTTTCTGTGACTTGCACTTTTTGGGAAAAGAACATGTCATTACAATGTGATAGTAACTATTAACCTTAGATGCATTCTGATTTCTTTAGTAAAACAGGGAAAGAGAGGATTGTCTTTCAAGAATGATGAAATTTGGTAACAACTGCCATACCTTTTCAGCTGCATCTAGGTTCTTATTGATCAAATGTAGACAGCCAATGTTGAAAAAGATTTTGGAGTTCTTTTCCTGGATGTCCAGAAATGTTCCAAGGGCAGCAGCAGAGTTCCCCCGTTCGAAACAGGCCACTGCCTCATCCCACTGTTTGAGAGTGTTCACAAATGACATGGTTCCAAATCAGGGAACTGAGCTACAGTGATATGGAGAGATGAGAACAGTGGAACCACACTTCGTAGACTGACACATTTCCCACAAGGGGGTAGGCAGGAAGTGTGATGATGACAAACTGAGGGTTTTTTTCACCAGTTCATGGTGTTGGCTACAACATGGCTAAAGATAGTGTTTGAAATAAACATGCGTTTGGTGTCCATGTAAAACTGCTCTGGGCTCTAAACACATATTTATTTTATTTTATTTTATTTAACCTTTATTTATCTAGTCAGTTAAGAACAAATTCTTATTTACAATGGCGGCCTACCAAAAGGCAAAAGGCCTCCTGCGGGGACAGGGGCTGGGATTATATAGGACAATACACACATCACGACAAGAGAAACACCACAACCCTACAAAAAGAGAGACCTAAGACAACAACATAGCATGGCAGCAACACATGACAACAGCATGGTAGCAACACCACATGACAACAACATGGTAGCAACACAACATGGCAGCAGCACAACATGGTAGCAGCACAGAACATGGTACAAACATGATTTGGCACAGACAACAGCACAAAGGCAAGAAGGTAGAGACAACAATACATCACGCGAAGCAGCCACAACTGTCAGTAAGAGTGTCCATGATTGAGTCTTTGAATGAAGAGATGGAGATAAAACTGTCCAGTTTGAGTGTTTTTTGCAGCTCGTTCCAGTCACTAGCTGCAGCGAACTGAATAGAGGAGCGACCCAGGGATGTGTGTGTTTTGGGGACTTTTAACAGAATGTGACTGGCAGAACAGGTGTTGTATGTAGAGGATGAGGGCTGCAGTATGTATCTCAGATAGGGGGGAGTGAGGCCTAAGAGAGTTTTATAAATAAGCATCAACCAGTGGGTCTTGCGACGGGTATACAGAGATGACCAGTTTACAGAGGAGTATAGAGTGCAGTGATGTGTCCTATAAGGAGCATTGGTGGCAAATCTGATGGCCGAATGGTAAAGAACATCTAGCCGCTCGAGAGCACCCTTACCTGCCGATCTATAAAACCCTCAGAGGTAGTAATCACACCGGTGGGGAGAGGGGTATTCTTCTTAACAAACCACATTACCTTTGTTTTGGAGGTGCTCAGGACAAGGTTAAGGGCATAGAAAGCTTTTTGGACACAAAGAAAGCTTTGTTGTAGAGCGTTTAACACAAAATCCGGGGAGGGGCCAGCTGAGTATAAGACTGTATCATCTGCATATAAATGGATGAGAGAGCTTCCTACTGCCTGAGGTACAGTGGGTAAAAAAAGTATTTAGTCAGCCACCAATTGTGCAAGTTCTCCCACTTAAAAAGATGAGAGAGGCCTGTAATTTTCATCATAGGTACACGTCAACTATGGCAGACAAATTGAGAATTTTTTTCTCCAGAAAATCACATTGTAGGATTTTTAATGAATCTATTTGCAAATTATGGTGGAAAATAAGTATTTGGTCAATAACCAAAGTTTCTCAATACTTTGTTATATACCCTTTGTTGGCAATGACACAGGTCAAACGTTTTCTGTAAGTCTTCACAAGGTTTTCACACACTGTTGCTGGTATTTTGGCCCATTCCTCCATGCAGATCTCCTCTAGAGCAGTGATGTTTTTGGGCTGTCGCTGGGCAACACAGACTTTCAACTCCCTCCAAAGATTTTCTATGGGGTTGAGATCTGGAGACTGGCTAGGCCACTCCAGGGCCTTGAAATGCTTCTTACGAAGCCACTCCTTCGTTGCCCGGGCGGTGTGTTTGGGATCATTGTCATCCTGAAAGACCCAGCCACGTTTCATCTTCAATGCTCTTGCTGATAGAAGGAGGTTTTCACTCAAAATCTCACGATACATGGCCCCATTCATTCTTTCCTTTACACGGATCAGTCGTCCTGGTCCCTTTGCAGAAAAACAGTCCCAAAGCATGATGTTTCCACCCCCATGCTTCACAGTAGGTATGGTGTTCTTTGGATGCAACTCAGCATTCTTTGTCCTCCAAACACGACGAGTTTAGTTTTTACCAAAAAATTCTGTTTTGGTTTCATCTGACCATATGACATTCTCCCAATCCTCTTCTGGATCATCCAAATGCACTCTAGCAAACTTCAGATGGGCCTGGACATGTACTGGCTTAAGCAGGGGGACACGTCTTGCACTGCAGGATTTGAGTCCCTGGCGGCGTAGTGTGTTACTGATGGTAGGCTTTGTTACTTTGGTCCCAGCTCTCTGCAGGTCATTCACTAGGTCCCTCCGTGTGGTTCTGGAATTTTTGCTCACCGTTCTTGTGATCATTTTGACCCCACGGGGTGAGATCTTGCATGGAGCCCCAGATCGAGGGAGATTATCAGTGGTCTTGTATGTCTTCCATTTCCTAATAATTGCTCCCACAGTTGATTTCTTCAAACCAAGCTGCTTACCTATTGCAGATTCAGTCTTCCCAGCCTGGTGCAGGTCTACAATTTTGTTTCTGGTGTCCTTTGACAGCTCTTTGGTCTTGGCCATAGTGGAGTTTGGAGTGTGACTGTTTGAGGTTGTGGACAGGTGTCTTTTATACTGATAACAAGTTCAAACAGGTGCCATTAATACAGGTAACGAGTGGAGGACAGGGGAGCCTCTTAAAGAAGAAGTTACAGGTCTGTGAGAGCCAGAAATCTTGCTTGTTTGTAGGTGACCAAATACTTATTTTCCACCATAATTTGCAAATAAATTCATTAAAAATCCTACAATGTGATTTTCTGGAGAAAAAAATTCTCAATTTGTCTGTCATAGTTGACGTGTACCTATGATGAAAATTACAGGCCTCTCTCATCTTTTTAAGTGGGAGAACTTGCACAATTGGTGGCTGACTAAATACTTTTTTCCCCCACTGTATGTTGTTGATGTAAATTGAGAAGAGTGTGGGGCCTAGGATCGAGCCTTGGGGTACTGCCTTGGTGACAGGCAGTGGCTGAGACAGCAGATGTTCTGACTTTATACACTATACTCTTTGAGAGAGGTAGTTAGCAAACCAGGCCAAAGACCCCTAAGAGACACCAATACTCCTTAGCCAGCCCACAAGAATGGAATGGTTTACCGTATCAAAAGCTTTGGCCAAGTCAATAAAAATAGCAGCACAACATTGCTTAGAATCAAGGGCAATGGTGACATCATTTAGGACCTTTAAGGTTGCAGTGACATATCCATAACCTGAGTGGAAACCAGATTGCATACCAGAGAGAATACTATAGACATCAAGAAAGTCAGTCAGTTGATTATTGACAAGTTTTTCCAACACTTCTGATAAACAGGGCAAAATAGAAATTGGCCTATAACAGTTAGGATCAGCTTGATCAGCACTGTAGTAGTATGGAGTTAGATATCTGCCAAAGGTTTGAACGCAATGAGTTAAAAGCATGTGAATGCACACAACTCGTTGCTTCGAGTTTACAAGTTGTATTTTCAGAATTTCCGACAATATACCACGGCTAAGGGCTGTTCTTACGCACGACGCACCGCGGAGTGCCTGGATACAGCCCTTAGCCGTGGTATATTGGCCATTTACCACCAACCCCCGAGGTGCCTTATTGCTATTATAAACTGGTTACCAACGTTATTAGAAGAGTACAAATAAATGTTTTGTCATACCCGTGGTATACGGTCTGATACACCATGGCTTTCAGCCAATCAGTATTCAGGGCTCGAACCACCTAGTTTATAAAAATGTTTAGACAGAGCGTTGGGGCTGTTTAGACATTCCTTGCGAACGTGAGACAGGTATGACAACTGACGTTGGTGCATACAGTAGCAATGCATTGACAGTCCTGACATGGGCTAGGCAGCCTACAGCCAGCTCAGCACCAGCTACAAAGAAGAGAGATATCACTGGGTCTTCTTGGAGTAGCCTAGGCCCAGTGATCTTCTGCTGGTGGTGGAGTAGCCTAGGCCCAGTGATCTTCAAGATGGATATTGGTAGCCTATGCATGTGGCATGGAGTGGAAAAACAAAACAAATACCTGTGTTTTGTTTTCCTATGTATTTGATCCCCACCCTGCAGGCCTGACTTCCTCAGCTCGGCTTATCAATAATTTAGTTTCTCAGTTCAGTGTGCATAATATGCATAACATATTAAAATCCCAATATATGCGTTTATATATACATTCACCTGACAGTTAATTAGGTAGGCTACACCCATCTAGTACCGGGTCGGACCCCCTTTGCCTCCAGAACAGCCTGCATTCTTTGGGGCATGGATTCTACAAGGTGTCAGAAACGTTCGTTGCTCAATTGGTATCAAGGGACCTAACATGTGCCAGGAAAACATTCCCCACACCAGTACACCACCGCCACCAGCCTGTACTGTTGACACCAGGCAGGATGGGTCCATGGACTCATGCTGCTTACGCCAAATCCTGACTGCCGTCGGACCAGGCAATATTTTTCCACTCCTCAGTTGCCAAAGTTGGTGATCGCATGCACACTAGAGCTGCTTCTTCTTGTTTTTAGCTGATAGGATTGGAACCCGGTGTGGTCGTCTGCTGCCCATCTATGACAAGGATCGACAAGTTGTGCATTCCGAGATGTTGTTCTGCACACCACTACCATTCTCCTTCGACCTCTCTCATCAACTAGCTATTTTCGCCCACAGGACTGCCACTGACTGAATGTTTTTAGTTTGTCACACCATTTTTGGTAAACCCTAGACACTGTCGTGCGTGAAAAGCCCTGGAGGGCGTCCTTTCTGAGATACTGGCAACTACGATCATACCACACTCAAAGTCGCTTAGGTCACTCGTTTTGCCCATTCTAACGTTTAATTGAACAGTAACTGAATGCCTTGATGCCTGTCTGCCTGCTTTACATAGCAAGCCATGGCCACTTGACTCACTGTAGGAGTGATACATTTTTGTGAATGGGGTGGTGTACCTAATAAACTGGCAGGTGAATGTATGTTATATGCATAACATATTATGTTTGTCAGACTGATAGTTGTTTGAGTAGGACTTAAAGTAAAATAAAGACTTTAATTAACTCTGATATTCTCTCTTGGGTTCAGATATAATACCCTAGGCTTGTGCGTGACCCTGCAGTAATTGCAACGGCTGACTGGCAGACAAGGGAATCGTTTTGGAAGTAGACGTCTGGCATGTACAGATATCTATGGTTTCAATACATGGCATTTCCTGTCAATTTAGGGTTAACTAGCATACCAGCTAGCAAGGAGCTAACATGGCTGCGCGACTATTCATGATAGCTAGCTAACCTCAAAGTAAATAAAACAGAACTATAAGAAAATTATAGGTTACATGAGAGAACAATGCATAGCTAGCAGCAACGGGTGCGTTCATGCTAATGTGTCGTGTGTTTACAAGCTAACATGGACCTTGGATCAATGCTGTACAACAATTTGAAAGATGTATCATGGAGCACGACGTCTTTACCCTTAGATCGACTTGTCAGTGTTTATAGACTGCCGCAAATTGTCAAGTTGGACAGTGGTAAGGCAACTTCTGGAGCAATTTATTGTTTTTAGGAGGGGCTAACCAGTTGATTTGCTGCATAAAATGCCAGTTAGCCAATTAGCTAGCCTCCAACCTAGCAAAGTTGGCTGGCTAGTTAATTAGCTAGCTAGCCTAGTTGGCTAGCCATACCGTCTATGTAACGTTACTCTGTCAATGTTGACATCAGCTAGCTACTGTAGTCAAGAAAGTTGTAAAAGCTTAGCTAAGCTTTAGCTAATTAAAGTTGCCATAATACAATAATTTGATTAAAGCTTGTAACTAGCTAGCTATCTAGATTCATTCCTTGCTAACTTGTTAAGTCTTTATTGTTATCAAGCTTAAACAAAACAAGTTAGAAAGTTGAAATGCAAAGATCGAGGAATGCATTGCAGGAGCATTTTCTGTAGCATAGCTAGCTACCGTCCGTAGCTAGCTAGCTACCTAGCTTACTTGGGACAATGCATGCATACAGAAAAAAGCAACACCCACCAAGAGTGGACTGCCACAAAACTATTGCGCAAATGCAGACATTTTCACATGCAAATGGAATTTGGTTTAGGCCTTGATGATAGCCATATTTATAGTTCAAGGAATGACATTCCATGAGAGCAATACTTTTTATTATTTGAAGCTTTAGCAAGCTACACTACATGACCAAAAGTATGTGGACACCTGCTCGTCGAAAATCTCATTCCAAAATCATGGGCATTAATATGGAGTTGGTCCCCCCTTTGCTGCTACAACAGCCTCCACTCTTCTGGGAAGGCTTTCCACTAGATGTTGGAACATTGCTGCAGGGACTTGCTTCCATTCAGCCACAAGAGTATTAGTGAGGTTGGGCACTGATGTTGGGCGATTAGGCCTGGTTCGCAGTCGTTATTCCAGTTCAACCCAAAGGTGTTCGATGGGGTTGAGGTCAGGGCTCTGTGCTGGCCAGTCAAGTTCTTCCACACCGATCTCAACAAACCATTTCTGTATGGACCTCGCTTTGTGCACGGGGGCATTGTCATGCTGAAATAGGAAAGGGCCTTCCCCAAACTGTTGCCACAAAGTTGGAAGCACAGAATCATCTAGAATGTCATTGTATGCTGTAGTATTAAGATTTCCCTTCACTGGAACTAAGGGGCCTAGCCCGAACCATGAAAAACAGCCCCAGATCATTATTCATCCTCCACCAAACTTTACAGTTGGCACTATGCATTGGGGCAGGTAGCGTTTTCCTGGCATCCGCCAAACTCAGATTCGTCTGTCGGACTGCCAGATGGTGAAGCGTGATTCATCACCCCAGAGAACGCGTTTCTACTGCTCCAGAGTCCAATGGCGGCGAGCTTTACATCACTCCAGCCAACGCTTGGCATTGCGCGTGGTGATCTTAGGCTTGTGTGCGGCTGCTCAGCCATGGAAACCCATTTAATGAAGCTCCCGATGAAAATATATTGTGTTGACGTTGCTTCCAAAGGCAGTTTAGAACCGATAGTGAGCGTTGCAACCGAGGGCAAACTTTTTTAACACACTCAGCGGTCCCATTCTGTGAGCTTGTGTGGCCTACCACTTCGCGGCTGAACCGTTGTTGCTCCTAGACGTTTCCACTGCACAATAACAGCACTTACAGTTGACTGGGGCAGCTCTAGCAGGGCAGAAATTTGACGAACTGACTTGTTGGAAAGTTGGCATCCTATGTTTGTGTATGGAGATTGCATGGCGGTGTGCTAAATGTTATACACCTGTCAGCAACGGGTATGGCTGAAATAGCCGAATCCACTAATTTGAAGGGGTGTCCATATACTTTTGTATATATAGTGTACGTAGTTATTTGTTACAAAGTCTACATAAAAAACATAGTGATATGCAAATCATGTAAAATATAATATTCATGGGGGACTGATAACTAAAGTTATACATTTCAAAGATTGTGATTTACTGTAGTCAAACATTTGTAAAAATGTATTTGTTAAAAATGTCATTTTTATGGAAGTGCCTCTCTTCTCCAGGTGAGTTGGTGGACGGCTTACGAGACAATGACTACCTCTTGATTCATTCCTGTCGGCAATGGACAACAATCACTGCACACAGTCTGGAGGAGGGCCATTATGTAATTGGGCCCAAAATAGAGATCCCAGTGCATTATGAAGGTTAGTCAAATCGCTGTTCCATTATGAAATCTACTCTATATCAGTGGTTCACATGGCCATGTTTTATTCAGATGTATGTGAATGCCTTACGGAGTAATATTAATCAGTACGCTACTACCCACTCAACCTAACATCGACTATGACTCTCCTTTGCCACAATCTAGCATATAATTTAACCTACCTATTTTGCAGTAATATACACGTTATGTGGACTGATTACAGACAGATCTTTGCTAATAGTTTATTTCCTTGTCAACAAGCTTTACAATGCCGTTCTAAAGCCATTTCAGGTAATCAAGAAAAATACATCTGTACAATCAGTGCTTTATAAATCCTGTGCTAGTATCAAATATGCAACATGCAAACATGCACATAGTACTGTTTGCTCAGGGGAATTGGTCTAGAACAGGCACAGTCCTGTTTCGCTGATCTTAAAAGCCTCTCAGGCTCGAATCAATGATTACACAGATGGGTCCATTTTACATCAATGACTCGCTGCTGCGCCTGCCCCAATCAAGCTGATCTGGCTGATGAAACCTTACACACTGTCATATGATCAATGCTCTCGCTTCACTTACAGCATAGGGGATGTGTACTTAGTCAGTGCACCAAACTGTAAAACTGATTCACGGAAACACTGTACATAACACTGGAACAGTGAGGTTGCAATGAAAGCTTGGCCTGGTGCAGGCTCAGGCTACTGCTGGGAACCAGGGGTATTCAGATAGTAATGTTCACTGAGAGATTTCAGAAATGTTTCCTTTCAAGCACAGACTAAACTAAAACAAAGGCCTATCCTATCCAGTAACATAAACAAGGTTACATGTAAGCAAGTTCTCCCATCTGATTCTCTCCACCCCCTCCTGTAGGTCAGTTTAAGCTGCTGGAGCAGGACAGAGATGTCAAGGAGCCGGTGCAGTACTTCAACAGCGTGGAGGAGGTGGCCAAAGCATTTCCCGAACGGGTTTATGTCATGGAGGAAATTACGTTCAATGTGAAGGTCAGTTGCTATTGGTTGATAGTTAATCAAAAGATGATTTTAGCGTTATAAAGTGACTTGCAAGTTATGTACGTTTCCCAAATGTCATAGTAGGAGTCCAATTGGAGTGTTTTTATGGGGTTATAGTTGTGTGATTTTTAGGCAATGAGGCTGCAATCTAACACGTTCTCGTCTCACAGATGGCTTCGGGCGAATGCAACGAGGACACGGAGGTGTACAACATCACACTAAGCACCGGTGATGAGCTCACCCTCATGGGCCAGGCAGAGATCCTGTACGCCAAGGCGTCCAAGGAGAAGTCGCGCTTCAACACCATCTTCAAGAAGATCAGCAAGCTCAACTCCATCAGCAAGATGGCGAGCCGTGGCAAGATGCCCTGCCTCATCTGCATGAACCACCGGACCAACGAGAGCGTCAGCCTGCCCTTCCAGTGTAAGGGTCGCTTCAGCACCTGCAGCCCCCTAGAGCTCCAGATGCAGGAGGGCGAGCACACCATCCGTGACATCGTGGAGAAGACCCGGCTGCCCGTCAACGTCAGCGTGCCCGGCAGCCCGCCGCGCAACCTGCATGACCTCCACCTGATCCGCGAGGGCCACCGCTACAAGTTGGTCAACATCCAGACCAAGACGGTGGTGGTGGGCTGCGTGCTACGCAGCAGTAAGATCATCCCCGTCCACTTCCCGCTCCACATGGCCTCCATGCCCAAGTTCATCATCCCTGAAGGGTTGCTTCAGAACGAGCTGTGGCTGGACACCATGGTGCACCGCTGGTTCACCTACTGCCAGGAGCAGTTTGACATTGACGACTATTCCCGTGCCGTGCGTGATGTCAGGACCGACTGGAACGACGTTGATGGGAAGATCCCCAAGAAGAGTAGTGGTGGTAGTGGCAGCAGCAGCAATGGCTGCCCCTCCCACATGCACATGCCCAGCTCTCTCACGTACGCTCGCGACGAGCTTACCCAGTCATTCCACCGGCTCTCGGTGTGTGTCTACGGCAACAACCTACACAGCAACAGTGAGGTCAACCTGCAGGGCTGCATGACGTTGTGTGGAGACTGGGCACTGCTGCCATCCGAGGGCGTACCGGCTGATTCGGTCGACACAGAGTACCTCTTCCCTGAGCTGCTGGAGAACATGAGCCAGTCCGTCCTCCTGAAGTCGGATGTGCCCTACGAGGAGCTGTGGCTGGACCACTTGAGATCAAGTCGGGGAGGAGGGCACAGTGTTGGTGGCGAGGACCCGAAAAGCACCAGCAACACCATCAGCACCTCCATGGCGGTCCTATCGTACCCCGTCTCCTCCAGTCATGTGGGCCCAATGATCAGCTCTGAAATCTGTCTACCTCCGCCCCCAGTCCCTCCAAAGTCCGAAGCTGTGAGTACACGTGATCCATCACCATGGCTACATTTTACCAACTAATATTACATTATTATTACCAAGCAAATTGGGGAAAATATTTAAATGACTGATATAATTTGCTTATGATCATCAGATGTAGTGTTTGAGACATTACATTGTAACAACAATTTAATATTATTTCTGGTGTAAACAGCTTCTCACAGCTAAAGACAAACATATTGTGAACACGCTGAATTGTAATTTGTAAAGTTAGCTGGTTTTCCTTCACCTTCCTCTCCAGGTGAAGGAAGAATGTCGTCTATTGAACGCCCCTCCCATTCCCCCCCGAAGTTCCAAGCAGATGATGTCCACCCCAACGCCGGCTGGAGCTAAGGCGTGGCAGACGGAAACGCGCTCGCCAAGCCCTACGCTCTCCTACTATGCCTCAGGCCTACACAGCATGTAAGGACTGGGGGGCAAATCCCAATATGTAGCCTCATCCTTTGCACGCACCTTCCATTGAGTTCAATGCCTGATTTACACTAAGGTTCCATGTCTCACACACGCCACTTAAGTAAGGATTTGGCCCTGCAGTCTATAGTTTTTATTTTGATCCTAGATGATACATTGAAATGACAATAAAAAAAGTACTTATGTACACACTTCCTTACATATTGCTGACTAGTCAATAGCTTTTGTTTACCTCCCAATGGTCTGGAATGTTGGGCTTCATTTATCCCTATGTGACATTATTTCAGAATAGTTTAGTAGTGTTTAATCTCAACTTGTACCTAGTTCTTTTCACTAACTTTGGTATTTTTATTTTGCTGCCGGCAGTGGAGGAGGGAATGAAGTGACCGAGGCGGAGGAGCAGAACCATGTGTGTTACCCCTGTAACTGGGTCAAGGCCAACGCTAACGAGGAGAGCCCGACAACGTCCCACGTGAGCCCACCGTTCGACGGCGTGACCTCCTGCCCTTCTAGACTATCTTGGCCCAACGACTTCTGTGGAGGGGATTCTCAAGGCATGGAAGAGTTCCTGCCCATCCACTGTCGAAGTTACTACAGCTATCCCCGAAAAAGACCCCTGGGCACGCCTAAGTCACCCTGCACTTCAAGCCTTTTTGACTTTGACGGAAGAGAGCAGAGCAGTAATGCTGTCCCCTTCAAAGCCTCGTACACTAATCAGTTTTGCACCAAGTCGTCGAGCTACACCCTGGAAATGTACAGAGATAATACCATAGAAGAATGTAACACTAAACAAAGCCTGTCGTGCCCCATCTTGCCACCGAGGACGCCCAAATCAAATGAGACAAGTAAATGTAAAGGTACAGATGCAGTCAAAGGTACAGAGCAGGACACTCTAAAGTGCCTGGTCAGCCAACAACACGATCAGGTCACGACGACAGACATATTCTCAATTTCCTATCCGCCCCTCCCCCCACTGTCACTGTCCTCCCCCTCCGCACCAGCCCCCGGAGGACCATGGCAACCACCCACCAACCTATCTGGACTCTCCATCGATGAGGTGTCCAAATCGTTACGGTTCATTGGCCTCTCCGACGACATTGTGTCTTTGTTCGTGACTGAGAAAATCGACGGAAATCTTCTCCTGCAGCTCACGGAAGAGATTCTGTCGGAGGACTTCAAGTTAAGCAAACTCCAAGTGAAGAAACTCATGCAGTTTATTAACGGTTGGAGGCCTAAAATATAACCTAACCCTTTAACAAAAGTACTAGTCTAGGAAGAAAAAAAACATGCAATGTGCTGCCAATGCCGACGTAAACTTTTGCCTTCAGTTTTGTAGTCAGTTTTGTACTCTAATTCTGGGGGTTATTTCATAGCATGAGTTGGTCAGACGATTTTCCTCAACATTCTGAAATAACTGCACATTCTAGTTCTTCAAGAAAGATAACACTTGAATTGGGCATGGTATATAACTGACTATATAATTCCTCTCAATAACCCATACTCCACTTTAAGCTTTCTTGTGGAACCAGAAAACCAAGAGTAATCTCGGTGTATCTGGAAGTTGGCTGCCTAACTTGTTGATCCAGCTCTCCGAAGTCCAACCCTGTTAACCATTACGGTTGTCTAACTATGTAACAGGGATGTGTTGTGTATTAACTCTTGTCATGTTATATTATCTGTTTGATTTTCTCTTTGTCCTCTTTCGGGACATTTTTTCTCAACTCCGTTACTACCTGCATTAACCCAAAGCCTTTCCACAGAAGTAATTGAAGGTTATTCATGAAAGTTTGCGATAGCAGGCACAGCTGCTAAATCGAAGCGATGGCGTTTAACCCATTTATAACAGTGTGCACTTCTTGTTGCCTTATTATAATACTGAATTAATATGCAAGTAACAACAACCAATACAATGGCACTTCAGATTCTGCATAATGTAAGATGCACTTGTCTAAAAACGCCTTTGCCAGTACAAATGGACTGTGACAATCAACTCATGACATTGTAAAAAAAACACAAGGTTTTTTAACAACGTTGGCTTTACATGTAATAGCTAAAGAAGGGGAAGCTTTGGGGATCAAGAAGGAACTATGTACCATTACAGAAGGAACATGTATTTGATTAAATGAAATGGAGAACTTGTTATATAGACTGCAAGGATATGTTACATTGGTGATATTTAATTACTGAAATAGCCATTGATTCATTTGATATAAACTGAACTAACAATATTTTCCCTTTTATTGTGCACATTCAAAAATGCAGACTTTCTCAGACTTGAGACATACCAGACTAATCTGCCTTAATTTAACCCACTACAGAACTTTTAACTAAACTACATTTAGCTGGGGGCCGTTCAAGAGGGTGCTGCATTATGGAACGTTCAGCTAGATTATGAATTGTATAGCACAGATGATTCTGTCATGTATAGAAAAGAGAATCATGTTGGCTCTATTCATTACATTTCTATCTGCAACGTTCTGACCGTTTCACCTCACTGAATACACCTCAGGTGTCATTTTTCCTGTGTTTTTGTGTCATGAATTAGTGTAATGTTATGCAAGTGATAAAAGGGTGGTAAGTACCAGTAACTGTAAAATGACCAGTAGCACAGGACTAAACTGTAAAATGCTCATCGACAAACTCTGTTGTCATGGGAAAACTGACGGTAACGTTTATGAACAACCCCTATTATATTTTGACTTAACTCTGTTTCTATGGTTGTGTATGATCAATAAAAATGGACACATTGTCTTGTCTTTTGGCTGAGTTACAATGACGACAACCTTACACCTTTAGCACAAATGCACATCGAAGGACTGGTGTTTAGTAATGATACGCCATGTAGTGCATTCCAAACAAACTGAAAAGCTTGTTAAACAATATAGAAGTGTAATTTGAGTGTCAGTTTGGATTCATTAACTTAATTTTTTCAAGCATAAAAAATGACTGACGAGACTAAGGCAATAAGGTGATCCCGTGTGTCTCAGTAGGGAAGAGCATGGTGCTTGCAGCGTGTTGGTTCGATTCCCACGGGGGACCAGTACAAAGAAAAAAATAAAATGAAATGTATGCGCTCAAGTCGCTCTGAGGGTCTGCTAAAGGACAAATGTAAAATAAGGCTGTATGTAAGGAACATCATCGCCACTATATCATGAGCAACAGTCATTGGCCCTGTTTGAATACTATAGGAATGCATGCTTTGTTTCTCCCTTGAAGAAATCCCTGATCCAGAACCAGAACCATTTCTTGTACCTATAATATTTAGTTGGGTCAGTGATTACATCAAGGAAGGAAGAGTGTGTTTTTGAAGTATTACAACATGGTTACGTTTTGTCTCGCGGAGGGGCATCTCATTAGGTGGTGTGTGTTTCATATCAAGGGCTCCCAGCCCACGCAGAACGTTGGGGTCCATGGCCTGGTCCAGCAGACAGTCCCCCTGGCTCTATACCGACAGGCTCCTGCCGAGCACGCACGTTATGCTCCTCACTTCCCAACGCCATAGACTGCCTGCCCTTGAAGGCAGTGTCCTTCTTAAAGCCCAGCTTCAGCTCTTCACTAAAAACAAACAACAGCGAGAGCGCTTCACTAAGGGTTCTATTCAATCTGTATCGCTGAAGCGTTACAGATTTTGCGATAGAAATGTAAAGGTAATTTCCGATTGCGCCAACATAAGCAGCGTTTTCTGTGAACGCAGTCTCCGCTAACGCCTGTACATTTCAATCGCGCTGTAATGCTGAACTTCAGCGATACAGATTCTAAAAGTCCTAAAAGTCTGCTTCACCAATCCTGCCATAGAAATGTTTAATAAGGCTGGGATTCAAACAAACGCAGATAAATTACTTGTGCACTGCGATTAACTAATAGGTGATTTCTGCTTTAGCCGACATCCGTGGAGAATTGATCTCAGCAAATGTCGGGAAAACTGCCTTTAAAAGGAAAATGTTGTGCACAGGTCGTTAATCTGCGTTAGATTGAATCCTGGTCAAAGTGTTTTAATTTTCTTTACCCTAATACTGCCCATGCAAAGCTGACAGTCTGCCCTTTAACCTCATAGTCATTGTATCATTTCAAATCAAAAGTGCTGGAGTACAGAGCCAAAACAACAACAAAAAAAGGACTAGCAAACTTAAAAACATTGACTTGTTGGATAGTGGTCCTGGTGTTATATTTATTTAGTATTTTTTTATTTATTAATCAGCTGTACTTCATCAACATTCTTCTCAATGCATGACCTCGTTGTAAAGCTTCACTGTCTCAGTGTAGTCTACAACAATGTTATTTTATTATCATACAATCTGCAATACTGGTTAGTTATAGCCAACCTACAATATAGCAGAGATAGCAAAAATTCTAATGTTACAAATGCAGATCCCAGTATTTCAGGAACATTCCACAATACCACCAGTGGAAAAAATGTAAAAGGCTCCAACTTGCAATATGGAAGTAAAGGGTTCTTTTGGGTTGGGTAGTAGCCTAGCGGTTAAGAGGTTGGGTCAGTAACCGAAAGGTTGCTAGTTCAAATCGCAGAGCTGACTAGGTAAAATCTGTCGATGTGCCCTTGAGCAAGGCACTTAACCCTAATTGCTCCCGTAAATCGCTCTGGATAAAATCTCAATCTCAGGAACCTGTTCACATCCCTCAGTAGCTCCTTGTGGATCCTTTTATTCTCCCCGGTAGACTTGTGGCCTTCCATTTCTTGCAGGACACCAGCAACCAGAGAGCTGAACAGCTGCTTGGCCAGACTGGGAATACAACTTTATTAGTCCAGCTCTGATGAGATGGAAATCTGCCTTCTGCTCTCCCACAACAGAACACACACAGATCTTGTGAAGACCACAGGGTCAGCTGCAGTGCAGTGCCCCCTGGAGCTATTTTAGGTATTAAGTACCTTGTTCACGGGCACAACAGTACAGTAGATGATACCTGGGATCTCAAACCAGCAGCCTTTCGGTGGCCAGATAATCTCCATCCCCCCTTCTGGCTAATGGTCCTTGTCGCTAATCTCTAGGCTACTTCCCCCAATACATATAACCATTTAGCAGAAGATTTTATCCAAAGTGAAAGGTTAAATAAGTAACAGTGACGCCATCCAAAGGTGGGACACAAAAAAAACGACTAAAGCACAGATAGCTAAAAAGACAGAACTAAATATATGGAAGTTAAAGATATTCTCCGGTACTTTTGTATATGTTTTTGCCAGTAGTTCTGAACGTAGCTTTCACTAGCCAAAAGCAGTCCCCAAAAATTGCATACTAAACTCAGCAAAAAAAGAAACGTCCCTTTTTCAGGTGGAGGGTCCGTCATGGTCTGGGGGCGGTGTGTCACAGCATCATCGGACTGAGCTTGTTGTCATTGCAGGTAATCTCAACGCTGTGCGTTACAGGGAAGACATCCTCCTCCCTCATATGGTACCCTTCATGGAGGCTCATCCTGACATGACCCTCCAGCATGACAATGCCACCAGCCATACTGCTCGTTCTGTGCGTGATTTCCTGCAAGACAGGAATGTCAGTGTTCTGCCATGGCCAGCGAAGAGCCCGGATCTCAATCCCATTGAGCACGTCTGGGACCTGTTGGATCGGAGGGTGAGGGCTAGGGCCATTCCCCCCAGAAATGTCTGGGAACTTGCAGGTGCCTTGGTGGAAGAGTGGGGTAACATCTCACAGCAAGAACTGGCAAATCTGGTGCAGTCCATGAGGAGGAGATGCACTGTAGTACTTAATGCAGCTGATGGCCACACCAGATACTGACTGTTCCTTTTGGTTTTGACCCCCCCTTTGTTCAGGGACACATTATTCCATTTCTGTTAGTCACATGTCTGTGGAACTTGTTCAGTTTATATCTCAGTTGTTGAATTTTATGTTCATACAAATATTTACACATGTCAAGTTTGCTGAAAATAAACGCAGTTGACAGTGAGAGGACGTTTCTTTTTTTTTGCTGAGTTTGTCACATATGTGTGGATATGTTCACCAGGTCATTGCCCTCTCTCTCTCTCTCTCTGCTGTGTCCACTGTTTTGCTCCCTACAAATGTTTCCTTAGGGCCCCAAAAGGCTAGGGCCGGCTCTGACTGCGTGTAGGTATGGATGTCGGTATACAGACCCGCGAGCCACTGCGGCCCCTCATGATGAGAAGATTTCAAAGTTTCCCCATCCCTGATCTAGCGGCGTTGAGTATATTCCTATGGGAAAATACATGAATATCTTTTGGAAACCATCATACATAAAGTTGAGTTAGTGTGGACAACAGTCTGTAAAGAGCAATGTGTAGGTTGTCAGCAGTCCTAATTCCAACGAAAGAAAACACTATGTCCATCTTTTCATGGGTTTTAATAATGACAGTTCAGCCAGTCACATTCATCATCAGACTAAAATGTACTTACTTTGCTTACACACAAATCACGAAACCTTGTACAAGAAAACATATTACAAAACTAACTAATAGTAAAAAATAAAGGAGAAAAAGAGAAAGGCGGTAGAAAGCAAAAAATTTTAACAAATAAAAACAAAAAAGGAAAACAATCTTTCCTCATCATTCTGGCAAACCAGAATTCCTCCAATCACTTACATCATCAATATGTGACAATCTTAATCCCAGCCTCAAAATGTTATCTCCCAAATTCAGTTTTATTCACATTAACTCTACCCACATGTACACATTACCTCAATTACCTCGACTAGACGGTGCCCCCGCACATTGACTCTGTACCGGTACCCCCCTGTATATAGTCTCCCTACTGTTATTTTACTGCTGCTCTTTAGTTATTTGCTTATCTATTTTTTACTTAACACTTTTCTAATTAGTATTTTTTCTTTAAACTGCATTGTTGGTTAAGGGCTTGTATGTAAGCATTTCACTGTAATGTCTACACCAGTTGTATTCAGCGCATGTGGCAAATAACATTTGATTTTACATTACGGGTCAGTTTCCCAGACACAGATTAAGACTAGTCCTGGACTCAGAAGCATGTTTAATGGAGATTCTCTTGATGTAGTTTTTAGTCCAGGACTAGGCTTAATCTGTGTCTAGGAAACCTGCTTTATAGTCCAGGACTAGGCTTAATCTGTGTCTAGGAAACCATCCAGGACTAGGCTTAATTTGTGCCTAGGAAACCATCCAGGACTAGGCTTAATCTGTGCCTAGGAAACCATCCAGGACTAGGCTTAATCTGTGCCTAGGAAACCATCCAGGACTAGGCTTAATCTGTGTCTAGGAAACCATCCCTGAAGGTCTGTTCTCACTTAGTACATTAATCAGTGCCCGACAGTCTCAATCTCAGCCTGAAGGCTTTCATCTCCCACATCCATTAAGACATGCCTAGGTCTGTTCTCTCCTAGTACCCGCTCACTCCCTGTACTGTATCTCCCCTCTAGGTCAGCAGTTGGCATGACAGCCCTGTTGCCATGGTAATAAAGGATGGCCGCACATCACTTTGTGCTCTGTCGGTAAGCAGCAGGGCGCTGGGTTGCCATCCCCTGGGGGTCCCTCCCCCACCCAGCAGTGCTCTGGAACGCTGGCGTCCAGTAGAGTCTCCTCACACCTGGGCTATAGGGTCATCTCTGACCTATACGGTTGGTCCAAGGTCGCAGCGTGGTGCCGTTACCTCTTGTTGGAGGTGCGCACCTGGTGTCGGACCCAGCCTGTAGGAGCTACAGGACAGAAGGACTACCATCAGGGCCGTAACCAGGGTTTTAGGGAGGTCCATAAGGATTCTTAATTTTTTTACTGCATTTCTATACAATTAAAACGCTATTTGGAGATCAGCAAAAACAAGCAAAATAGACCCCTGCTGCTGTAGGTTCATTCACCTCATTCAACCTACAAACACAAAGGGGGGAAATATGAGAAATGATTCACACTGACGCGTAGCATCAGCGACTGTTCAGTCAGTTGAAATGATGAATTGCATAAAATCATAAACTCTTTACATAGATCTCGTTTCACAAATTACAAAGCGTTCACATTTGTATTCCTAGGCATTACTAATCAAGCTCCGCACAACCAGACATCAATGGGGCACACAGATGATTGTATTATCACATTCACATGAATTATTAGAATATTACTTACGATTCTGTATTTTAATATCAGTGATGTAGTGGTAAAAAAAGGTAATGGACAAGACTAAAAACCACCAATATAAACGAAAACTTATGACATTTTTAGAACTATGGTTTGCATTTTAATTATTTTATTGAACCAAGTAAGTTGACTGAGGACACATTCTCATTTACAGCAACGACCCAGGGAATATTATTATATATATATTTTTTAACTTTTACCCCTTTTTCGTGATATCCAATTGGTAGTTGCAGCGATGGGACAAGACTGTAACTCCCCTACAGACTCGGGAGAGGCGATGGTCGAGGGCCATGCGTCCTCCGAAACATGACCCTGCCAAGCCACACTGCTTCTTGACACACTGCTCGCTTAGCCCGTAAGGCAGCCGCACCAATGTGTCGGAGGAAACACCATCCAGCTGGCGGCCGAAGTCAACTTGCAAGTGCCCGGCCCGCCACAAGGAGTCGCTAGAGCACGATAGGACAAGGAAATCCCGGCCGGCCAAACCCTCCCCTAACCCGGACGATGCTGTGCCAATTGTGCGCCGCCTCATGGGTCTCCCGGTCACGGCCGGTTGTGACACAGCCTGGGATAGAATCCGGGGCTGTAGTGATGCCACAAGCACTGCGATGCAGTGCCTTAGACCACTGCGCCACTCGTGAGGCCTGGGAATAGTTAAAGGGGAGAAGAATGAGCCAATTGGAAGCTGGAGATGATTAGATGGCCATGATGGTATGAGGGCCAGATTGGGAATTTAGCCAGGACACCCCTACTTTTACGATAAGTGCCATGGGATATTTAGTGACCACAGTCCTATCCGAAAGACGGCACCCTACACAGGGCAATGTTCCCAAATCACTGCCCTGGGGCATTGGGATAAATAAAAACATTCGACCAGAAGAAAGAGTTCCTCCTACTGGCCCTCCAATACCACTTCCAGCAGCATCTGGTCTCCCATCCAGGACCAACCCTGCTTAGCTTCAGATGCAAGCCAGCAGTGGGATGCAGGGTGGTATACTGCTGGTTGTAGGCCTATAGGGAAGATAGGCCATGTCGAGATGCTCATATAGAAACATATCATTGTTTTTTAAGTTCCTAACTTGTTTGATAAGATTAGCACAGATTTGCTAAGGGGGCCCCATGGAACCACTGTACTAACCTCTCTCTCTCTCTCCGCTCATTTCCCATCTCCCTAGGTCTTCTCCCCTTCCTCCTGCATGCACTGCAGCCTGCCTCAGCCTCACCACTGAGCGCCACATCACTGTCTGTCTCAGTAGCCTACTCTCTGTAAAGCAAAGTTATTATGAGAACTTAGTAGCGTATTTTTTGCTCCAGCTGAGGTAGGCGCCGTGTAACGTTAGGTTCTTACTTCATCCTTCTAGCTGGCAAAGTAATACTAGCCAGAGCCCTTCTACATTACTGCAATAGAAGTCTCTGACATATCTATAAGCGACTACCAATTGTGCACTCATTCTCAGAGAGTCGGTTTTTGTTTGTTTGGAGGCTGTCTGTAGACATGGCAGGAGTCGTGGGACGGTTTTTAAAATTGTATTTTGTCAGCAATCTCGCAAACACACTGTCAGCAGCGTCTCTAGTTTTGCCTAAATCTCTATTTAGCCGACTGAGCTGGGGTGGTTCGTTTCACGTCTCAGGCCCTCGACATGTGCCACAAGAGGGCGAAGCTAGACGTTTGAGAGAGTGGTGAATGTGCTGCTAATAAGGCAAATCCATCCAGGAGGCAAATCCGGGGGACGCAGGTGAACATACCACTCTTCATGATTCTACTCGTTCGCAAAGAGGCAGCCACGGTTAGAACTCAGTCAGATCAAGAATATAAGCGTTCTGAGCTTTGATCAATGCTGGGAGCAATATTTAGATGTTGACTCAATTTATTTTCTGTATTGTGTACACATTTTTTATATTCTTTATTAGAAAACATTACAGAGGTCCGGATCTCTGTGTCCTCATATGTAGTTACAGCCATGATTACCATGTAGGCCCACTAATTACAGTCAGGCTATGTAAGCAACTTAAGGAAGTGTTGGAGACATTGGTTTATAGATGGGATGTTAACTTGTAATATTGGAATCGGACGCCATGTGTCCTACATCCTGGTTAGGGGTGTGTGACGTCATAACACTCACAGCGTGGATGTCCTGGTGGTCTGGGGTTGCTGGCACTGCTGCCAAAGGAGGACTGGAAGTTGTGGATGGTCTCCTGTAAAATCTGCCTCTCTCTCCCCTGCAGCAACAATTCAGGTGAATAATAATAATACATTGTATTTATACATTTTAAATTGGATGTATCAAGCTGTGATCCCTCTTTGGTAACTAAACACATAGAAATAAACAAATAGATAGGCACGGAACACAGAGGGGGGTGAGTAAATATTGAAAACACACCTTCCCAGCATTAAGTTCAGAAATAGCTGCCAGTATTTGCTGTCTAGGCCCGTCCGTCTTAATCCCCAGTTCCTTTAAATCTCCATCTGTTAGAGTAAGGAAGGCCTCCATATCCACCTGTAATGGATGCACATTGACTGAGTGAGTGGATGACATGAGATTTAAACCACAGCTATGAACATTTTAGGATAAGTAGCAAAGACACATTGGCTTAAGCTATAGTGAGGATAACGCATACCTCTTGCTCTTCGAATATGGGCTGGTATTTCTCCAACGAAAGTTTCTTCAGGATACTGGACAGCTCATCTGGGTGTAGTGAGAGATCAACAGAGATAAGCAGAGGAAGGGTGTGTTTTTTAAGTATTCATACCAACCAGAGATGCACTGGCTCACCCTCGTCGGTGATGGTGCCACTGCTGGAGCCGCCGCTGCTCTTAGAGCGCGGGTGGGAGGAGGCGGAGGACAGGGAGTCCCCCGGGGGAGGCTTGGGGGTGGGTGATGGAGACGGGGTCAGGGTGGGAGAGGTGCTCTTGGAGGTGGAGGAGTTCCCAGACTGGGGTCTCTTCTTTAGGTCAGCTTTCTGTAAAGAAAATAGATGGGTGTGAATCACTTTGATCATGTTTTGCTAGTTAACACTGATATGTTGTAAGCGTGTATGAGCCTTTATAAATGTCTTATAACAAGGCTTGTAATATGTTGTCTTTCTATGTATCAATATTATATCTGACCCGTCTGGAGTGGACGTCGCTCGACACCAGGCTGGGGGTGCTGTGGATGTCTGGGAGACTGATGTCAGGCACGGTGGGGGAAGGAGCAGGCACAGGGGTGGGGCTTGGCACCTCTGCTGCCTGGGCCTTTGGATCTAACAGGCCTGCAGCTCTCTTCCTCTGGGCAGCAATTTGAGACAGGACGCTGTCTGAACTGCCCCCTGTGGGGAAGAGAGGAAACGCAGCCCATGAGGGGTAGCACTACCACTGAGTAGTACTAGCACTAGCTGTCTGCTCAAATCTCATAGATTAATAGTCTGAAAGTGTGTGTGTGTGTGTGTGTGAGACACCTAGCCAAGTGTGTTTTCATATGCCTGTACCTGAGCGGTTGTGAGAGTCTGGCCCATGGCGGTTGAGCCCTGCCACCCCGTTGGAGCCCCCTGAGGAGTGGGGGGAGTGGTAGTTGCCTGAGTTGGAGGGGGACGTGGATGAGGGGCCCTTGGTGAGGCTGGGGAACTTAATGGACCTGCTCACCACACGACTAATAGAGGTCTGTGACACAGCATGCAAGGAAATAATACTTTTTCTTCACTCCAAAATCACAATTTATCAGTGGTTTTCAATTACAGTTTAAAAAAAATATTTTGAAAATCATCAACAACACGTGACTCACGATGTCAGAGTTGCCACTGCTGTTGAAGTTGGCTTTGCCGGGCCTCTGTGGCATGGGCAGCCGTGAGGCTTCGCTCTTGCCCTCTTTGATGACCCGGGAGCGGTCTGAGTTCCACGGCTCAAAGTTCGACGGGGGCAGAAAGGGTGGGATCACTGCCTTCAGCTTGTCGTTGGGCAGACGGGTCAGGGGCGCCCCATTTCTCAGCTGAAAGTTTAGTAGAAGTTCAATTCAATCACACCAGCATTGCATTATCTATTCAGTAGCATGCACAGTAAATAGGCTATGGCCCCCAGACAGAGCATCTTCACCGTTTTGTCAATAATATCCACAATGTGTAGCAGTTTTACACAGGACTCCACTGTTAACGTCAACTGAAGTTTCAATTAAATGTAGCCACAGGGCTTATCATTGTTAATTCATTTAAATTCAAAACCTCTTCAAATGTAAATATTCCTACCATTGCGGTTATTAGAAAGTCATCCTTTTCTGTGCCCGTTCTGCCATGACCTATGAAACAGATACAAATTCACTTTCAAATAAATAAATAGGTAGTTTAGTAGAACCATACTTGACATTCTCTCATGTTCCTGTATTGAAGGCCCAACTGTTTCAGCCACTGACCACAAAATTGAATGTTTCAACTAAATCTCAGGAAGAATATGGCCATTGTGAAAAATGAACCGTTTCAAAACATCAGGGAATCAAGATGGTTTCTAGGAAATGCCCCTTACAGACATTTACCATACTTTGTTCAATTCCCATTTCTCACAAACAATCCATGTACAATCAGTAGGACAGCTTAAGTATTGCTTATTCTAAACTGACTATACTGTAAAAATAAATACTACAAAAATTCAGCTTCCAAAAAAAAACTGGAACATTGTTATTTGGAAAAGTCTTATTTCCCCTATGTCTCACCACTGTCTTTGCTCTTGGCTGTCCAGGCCGTGCTGATGTCAGTACTCCCCGGGGCTGCAGGGAGCGCCACCGCTCCGCTCGGGGTGACACTCTTCCTCTCAGCCTTCATGGTGGCGTCCAGAGGCACCTCAGGTTCGTCTGGGAAGGGGGCCAGGCGGTTGGAGGACAGCCCGTGCCTTAGAGTGTGGGTGAGCTTCAGCCTCCGGAACCTGTTAGACATCCTGTTCCACCATGACTGGACAGGAAGGAGACAGTAGTCATGTGTCATATGATAATAAACAGAGAGTACACAACATATGGCCCGCGGGCGAAATGCAGCCCAAAATCTGATTTAATTTGGCCCTGATCTAAACAGTGCCTGACCTTTAGTCCTCCTCTGTCATCGGGTGGTACGGGGACGTTGTTGAGAGACTGCCTGCTCTTGGAGCCAGTGAGGGGAGTCCTGCCCCGGTGTTTTCCCTTGTCTTTGTCCACCTGCATGCAGACGGACGCCAACAACCTCACCAGCTCAGTGTCTGTGGCCAAGAAAATGGCAGAGTGTGACTGGGGTGCATTGGGTTTACCAGGTGTACTAAGCAGTAGCAATGATAACACATATCACAGTGCAAATGCATTATAACACTTCACACTGACTATCTACACCAGTACACACAGAAGCAGCGGCAGGTCGTGTCGTGGCTTTACCTGGGTCATTCAGCAGCATGACCAGGTCAAAAGCAGTGTATCCATTCTTGGCTCGCAGGTTGACATCTGAACCCTGACTGAGCAGATACTTCACCACATCTTTATTCCTATGAGCACAGGTAAGAAAGAAGAAAAGCTTAGATTAGAAGACAACTTTTACAAAATCACCCTGACTCTATATGTGTTTTAGCCGTTGTGTGTTTGTGAATGTGTCTGTGTAGAACAAGAAAGTATAACCAAAAAGGCGGTCACGCGTCACATATTTACCCATGGTACGTGGCCTGCATGAGGGCCGTCCAGCCGTGTACTCCATCTTGTTTGTCCACGTCAGCGCTCTTCTCCAGCAGGAGCTGCACCACCTCCAGCTGCCCACTGACGGCTGCTATCATCAGGGGAGAGGCGCCGTCCGGGTTGGCCATGTTCACCTGGGATGGGTCTTCCTCCAAGATCTCCTTCACCAGCTGGGAGTTTCCTGGGGGACACACACATGTACATGTGCAAACACACACACACAGATATGCGTATGAACGCACACACAAGATTACCACAGACCACTCAATTCCAGCTACATACATTCTTATTGAAACAAAGGTCTCTGGCCTCCACCCAAAAGTTTCAAATGTTTTCAGCCCTCACAGACCCCACACATTCTTCCCTCCCAGGGTTTTACAATTACGACAGACTGCATTGAGCAACCATGTAAGACTGCCCAGTGCCATGTTAGATTCTCTCAAACTCACAGTCCCTACTTCGGGAAGGTGTAGGTATGACTTTTTGGTTGAACTACATTCATGGTTGGTTTACCTACTGTAAATGCATGGTAGTGGTATGCCCACTCTTGCAGACATAACTCAATACGACAGCTTTCCCCTTACAATGCAATACGTCCTCTCACAAGGCAAACCTCTGTTTGTTTAGTATGTGTCTGCGTCCGCTAAACTCACCTAACTTCAAGGCACTGAAGACATCTGGTCTCCTCTTCCCGTCATCTATGAGAGGGTTAAAAGAACAGAAGATGAATGTACTAAGAACTGAAAACCTCTCAGTGGGTAAAGCAACAATCCTACATGGTCACAATTAACTATGTTACCCAGCACCACCACCACCACCACGCACTACCCCTACTGCTGAACCCAGTCACATTGGGTACCAGAAGAAGACAGGGAACACTTGAGTGGAGAAATACTGGAGAGTTGTACAGGCTTGAGTCAACAAAGCTCAGTCCAAAACCACCAGGAGAGTGGACCACAATCACATGACTGCTAGCCAGGGAGACGGATGAGGGAACTCAAAACACTGACTGGTCCTTTTCGTCCTGAATTGTAGTTAAGGTTAATGTGCTTACCATAGCATAAAATACCAATGTATGCATTGTAAGAATGCAGTAGTGATATGGAGAAAACTTGAGCAGTGTCCCCGCACATTGACTCTGTACCGGTACCCCCTGTATATAGCCTCGCTACTGTTATTTTTACTGTTATTTTACTGCTTTTATTTTTTACTTATCAATTGTTTATTTACACTTATTTTTTTTCGTAAAACTGCATTGTTGGTTAAGGGCTTGTAAGTAAGCATTTCACTCTAAGTTGTATTCGGCTCATGTGACAAATACAATTTGATCTCTGTTATATCAATTGAACTGACAAAACATTAGGGAAGATGCATGCAGAAAATATGTTAATTTTTTATTAGGGCTCAAAGGCAAGATTCATTGTACACAATCTGCACCACACCAATGACATAAGTTGTCTTTCCAGCTATACAGGCAGATATAGTTAATAAATCAAATCACGTTTTATGTCACATGCGCCGAATACAACATGTGTAGACCTTACCATAAAATGCTTACTTACAAGCCCTTAACCAACAATGCAGTTCAAGAAATAGAGTTAAGAAAATATTTACTAAATAAAATAACGTAAAAAATAAAAAGTACACAATAAAATAACACTAACAAGGCTATATACAGGGGGTACCGGTACCGAGTCAATGTGCGGGGGTACAGGTTAGTCGAGGTAATTTGGACATGTAGGTAGGGGTAAAGTGTCCTGCCAGGTCTCTGACCTCCTCCCTATAGGCTGTCTCATCGTTTTGGTGATCAGGCCTTGTGTCGTCTGCAAACTTAATGATGGTGTTGGGGTCGTGCTTGGCCACAAAGTCGTGTATTACAGACTCGGCCAGGGAGAGGTTGTAAATGTCAGTGAAGACAATTGCCAGTTGGTCCGCGCATGCTTTGAGTACACGTCCTGGTAATTTGTCTGGCCCCGCAGCCTTGTGAATGTTGACCTGTTTAAAGGTCTTGCTCACATCGGCTACGGAGAGTGTAATCACACAGTCGTCCGGAACAGCTGGTGCTCTCATGCACGCTTCAGTGTTGCTTGCCTCAAAGCGAGCATAAAGGGCATTTAGGTTTCCCTTTGTAGTCCGTAATAGTTTGCAAGCCCTGCCACATCCGCCGAGCATCAGAGCCGGTGTAGTAGGATTCCATCTTCGTCCTGTATTGACGCTTTGCCTGTTTGATAGTCATGACTCATTATAATGGGTAACTGTCTGAACAAATTCTAGGAAGCTTCAGATGTTTAAAGGGATAGCTCACCCCAAAATCTAAGTTTGTTTTCATTATAGCTCAGAAGGTGGTCTTGTGTCTGTTTTAAATGGGAAATATTGGCACTATCCATCTAACTACTAGGCTTAAATGGTGCCAATCTTTCCCATTCATTTGGAATGGAGGCCTGCAGATTTCTCCTAATGCATTTCGCAGGATCTACACAGGAATTTGAGGGAGAAAAGATCCAAATAAATTTTTTATTTAAGGGTGAACCGTCCCTTTAAGGTGGCACTTCATTACCTATGTTCAGAAGGCCACAACATTGTGGGACGTTCAGATATAAATATATGATGTACAACAGACTTGCCTCTCTGACATGTAGAGTAAGGAATCATGTCAGCTCTATTCGTGACATTTCTATCTGCAGCCCTGCTATTACAACAATTTGTCAAAGAAATGCAGCGCTCAGACGTTTTCAAGGGTAGGTTTCAAATTCAGGTCCCCTCCTGTGTACTTCCTGGCCAAACACAAGAGGCACATCAAAGAGAACAGGTGTCTAAAGGGGGAACTCTAACAATGTCTCTTTCTTTTAGACACCCAAGGTGTGACCAATACTTTACTTTCACTTGAGTGTCAATTGTAGTGTTACAATAAACATGTTACACAGCTTTGAGTGAATTAGAAAACGTTCACAACAATCGAGACTACTACCGATGAGGTACCAGGACAAGATCTGCTGAAGACTTCCTTTAAGTCTCAAAGATGAACTTGTTGCAATCTTATCTGTGTATTGACTAATGACACTCATATCAAAAATAGAAAAACTCTGCTTTGTGCCTTGTTGGCCTAATTTGACTGCATATCAAATTAGTGTTTCTCCTGAATGTTTCTTCAGCGGGACAGAGATCCCTGAATCAGCATCAAGGCTTGCCAACAATAACATTTCCTAAACCAATTGAAACCTAGCCTAAAGGTTTTGGGGAAGGGGGTAACAGAGTTAGACGGGGGTCTGTTCCAGTCCACCTAAGTAGGCGTAATGGAAATACTGGAAAACTGATTTCCGACAGTGTGCAACCGACCAGGGTTCAAATTCGGGTCTCATACATGTCACATGACTGTGTTAGCCCGCCAAGCTAAAGCCTAGACGTTAGCTTGGAAAGCTAACGCAAGTCTTCGGGTTTCAGGCTGGGTTACTCATCACATTAGTGTGGTTCACCAAACCACCTTCGTTACACCTGGACAGAGAAGTGAACTCGTGGCTGTTCCATACCTGGCTGTGGGCGCACGGTGGTGATGGAGTCCAGGTAGGCCTTGACATCCCTCTGCTTGAGCTGCAGCGACAACTCGAAGGCAGTCTTGGCCAGCACGTTGACCTGGTCAGGGTCCGCCCCCCGCTCCACCAGCTGCTGGGCCACGCCCACCTTCCCACTCAGCGTGGCCAGCATGAGGGCACCCCAACCCGTGGTCTTCTGGGAAAAGTTCACCTCCGCCCCCCACTCCAGGAGCAGGCGAACGGATGCCTCGTGGCCATGCTGTGAGGCAGCAAGGAGTGCCGTGATATCCATGAACTCCCTTCCGCCCTCGCCTCCGACGCTGTTGTTGCCGTTGGTGATGCCCTCGGCGAGTGCCAGGTGGTCGTAGTCATCGACGTAGGCGCCGCTCTCCAGGAGAAGCTTGGCCACGTGGGTGTGACCGCCTCTGGCCGCCATAGTCAACACGCTGGCCCCCATCCGGTTCCTGCCGTTCATCTCCGCCCCGTTCTCCAGCAGGATGTGGGCCACATTTAGATGGCCAAACCTAGTGGACGACAAGACAATGTCATGGAACTGTCCAAAGATTTCCAAAAACGTACTAAGATCATCTTAAGTCCATTGGTAGGCAATGGACGCACAATGATGTTAATGCTTAATGTTTTGAAGACTAGGGGCACTCTCACATGGGGTCATAGGTCACATGGTACACAGGTGACCAGGAAGTGTTAGGAGAGAGGAGAGTGGTCATGTCTAGATGAGATACAGCTTATGTCAAATTGACATCAAAAGTTGAAACAAATTGAATTTTTGATAACCATTTTTTGTAACCTTAACCTAATTCTCCTAACATGCCACATTAATTATCCTAACCTGCTACGAAAAGTCAATTCTGGGAAACTGTATACCATCTAGTCAAAACCGAGGAGAGCATATGGTTCTTATCATTAAGATGATCTATCTCTTTAAAGGTAGACTCAGCAATATGACATAGATGCAGTTCTAAGTAAACATATAATTGTGGATCAATTTCCGCAACAACTAAGACCATTGAAGCGCGAGCCTACTTTCAGCACCATGAGTTGTCCATTTCCGATTGATGGTGCCGCGGCTGCTGCTTCAAGTTTCAGAACCACAACGTAAGTTACTCGAATCTGTCTTATTGTGAGGTCAATAACTATGATAAAACAGGACTACATCATGGGCAAGAAACATAATAAAATCAATTATAGTAGTAGTAAGCTATCAAATGTGATCTCTCCAACGGAACAGAACATACGCTATAGGCTAGTCCACGCAAAGTTTTTAGCACTAGGCTAATCCAAAATTATTTTTGGAAGAATCCTTTGACTCTCCTCCTGAACTGGCACCGCCTACAAAGCACAGCCATTGGTTAGGTAGCACACAAAAACGTTTTTGATAAGCAAGAGCAGAGCAGGCCGGGGCTCAGGGTTGGAATATCAATTTCAGTGTGTAATGCAGCCTAGTTTTATTTACACCATCCCAGCTGCTATCTTAGAAATATAACTTTGCTCTGTGCTTCTCTGAGCATGCACTTGGTAGCCTATAGCCTATAAACTATGGCTCATCTTCTTCGATGGGTTTTAACGGCGGTTGGCATCCAATGTTAATGGTGCATTACCGCCACCAGCTGGACGAGGTATTGAATAAAAAAAATTAAAAAACATTGCAATAAATAAAACAAAGTCCACCTTTTTAACATGTAGCATTTCACTATCCCTTGGTTGATGAGAAATCTTCACTGGTCGTGGTGGCTCTACTACCATTGTTTCTTCCCCGCCACTCGTTCCTTCCAATGTTCTCACCACCTCCAGATAGGAGACAAGCTGGACACTCCTTACCCTTGCCACCTCATTCTCCTTCACCCGAACAGGGCACTCCAGGAATTCAGGTGCATGTTCACCTCCACGGTTGTAGCATTTCACTTGGCATATGATACTCTTCCCTTCTGCACACACTTGACACATGACCAAATATTTTACATTTATGACACTGAAGGGGCTTGTGCACAAAGGCTCTTACAGGGTATCTCATTAATCCTAACTTTATATGAGAAGGGAGAAACTCTTCATCAAAGAACAGTAGCATGGATTAAGTGAATTTATTTTCTCCATCCACCATACAGGCCAGTCGGCATGCACCAACCACTCCATCGATACCTTCAGTAATATCTTCTGCTTTTATTTCTTGCGCCAACTCAGAAATAACCCCCTTGATAGGCGCCCTGCTACGAAAATCCATGCAGGAAACATTCCACTCCGATATCTTTTTGAGTCAAAACATACTTCTTCTGCTCCGCAGACACACAAAAAATCTAAATAAGACCACTTCTTGTGACCCTCACCGACTCCACACATTCCAGATTTTCCTTGAGACGTTGAAAGGATTTCCCAAGTAGCATTGATCCAAACCCTCACTCAGACTAAAAACGAGTCTAGTGGTTTCCTATTTTCCACCACAGCTTTACTTCTCGTTTAGCTTTTTCTTCGCCACGGTAACCCACGAATTCTCACTTTCTGTACTATTATCTTAACCCGACTCACTAGCAGTTTCAAACAAAACCTTAGTTTCCGCCATCTTCCCGACCAGCTATGGATCATTTGATTGAGACCACACTAAATAGCCTATAGGCACACTTGATATTGCACGCCCAGTGGAGAATCAGAGATGAGGGGCTGTATCAGGCACACACTGATATATAGTCTACTAAGCAACTAATTTTAAAACACTGCGAAATATTGAAATTTCATCAATTACCAATTACATGACCCTCCCCTGGACTAGATTTAAAAAAATACTCAACCCTCCCCTTGACTGAAATTGAAAAAGCATGACCCTCCCCCATTTCCCTCCAGGTACATTATGTAAATGTAGAACCAACCATTACTGCTCGAACACACCCAATATCTGCGGTGCTGCTCGTGGCAACGTCATTTCGCTGAGTCTACCTTTAAGATGATCTTTATGGAAACTCACCCCTGCCTAGTATGGATTGTTTTATTTATCATGCACAATCTTCTGTGTTGTGCATATATTATAATACAATTATAACATTTTGATCGGGGACACACCCATTTAACATCTGTATACGTTATTAACCAATGTCATGAGCACATAAACTGGTAGCAACCACACCTTGTAGCCTGCATGAGAGGCGTCCAGCCATAGTTGTTACGGCTGTCCACCGAAGCCCCCTTCCGCAGTAGAAATCGGACCAGATTCTCATGTCCACTCGCCGAGGCGAACTGCAACGCCGTGTTGCCCTCTTCATCTGTGCAATCCACTGGCACCAGCGAGAGTCCCCGGGTGATGTCCACAACATTGCATTCCGATCCCGCTTCTGACCGCAGTCTGCTTTGCCTCCCGGACTCTTTCACCCCGGGATCAAGAATCCCTCGAGCAGTTTCGTAGTCTCCTTCATCACAAGCACGAAACAACAACAGTGCGTTTGCTGGAACACCTAAATTCATCTCCGAGGTTAGTTTGAGTTCCAGTTATGGTGTTCTAAAACTTTTCTCCTCCTTAATCCAATGTCTATCGGCGGCCCATGTTTGAAAAGCATGACGCACTAACAATAGTAAAGTTCTCCTCGAGTAATACGGCGTTTTGGTTTGTACTATAACAAATATTATCATAAAAATAAAAAGCAAAAAGCTTTTTATTTTCTAATGTAACTCATTCGCAGCCGGTTACTCTCTCGTCTCAACCTCTGGAAATGTTGCCATTCTGCGCGTGCGCAAAATGAAGAAAACGTAAGAGCAGTCTTTTTCGGACCACCTTCTTTTTATTGGACAAAAAAATAATGTATTGGACGAAACGAGCCCCTTGGAACATTAAACAAATAGTTGAGGGCTACAGACCGTGATGCATGGTTAAAATCGATCACATTAATTTGTAGTATATTTAATGGTCAACTTTAATATTCATTTAGGCATGATAAAGGACATGGGATTTTGGATATAGGCCTACTGTTCTCTAGGCTTATAAATGAGAGAACACGGCACTTTTTTCATCTCTGAAACAATGTATAGACTATGACGTTTCTCTTTACGCTACTGCTATTGTTTTATATTGCTGGTTATTAATTTGGAGTTGTGGTTGTTAATTGAATTGGCAGTTGTCTTATATGAAAGCATTATAAACATGCATAGGCTCATTATGGAACGGTGAGCTGTTATGAATACAATCAAAATAGTTTGAGGATACTGTGCAGAGCTAAATCCATATTATACACAGATACAGGCTGCAGTCAAATTCTCTACTCTTCTCCCCGAGTGTGTTCGTTCACTCCCCCTCATAGATTACAAACATTGGATGGGTGTAAGTGTGGGCTAGAGGTAGTCTCCACCTTATTAATCTTACACCAATCCATTCCTTTTAAATCTATGAGGGGTATGGAGGGAAATTAAGGAGTGTACCCTACACTTTGGGGAGACTGATTGAGGACCCTAATGGTTTGATCAGTATTCAATACTTCAATGGAGCACCACACATAGACAGCAGATGGAGCCATTCTCCTGTCAAATGTATTGTGTGTAGTGGACCATTTTTTAAGGTGAATTAATTTGAGGGTCACTTTCTCCTCTCATAATTCTACTCCACAAATAATTTATGAGCCTAACTGTAAGGATCCTTCTAAATGAGTAATGTTCTTTCCAACTTGTGGCAACCGGCCAAGTACAACAGCCATGGCCCGCGCATCAATCTTTTCCAATTACCCCGTCAAACATGGATATACAGTGGGGGAAAAAAGTATTTAGTCAGCCACCAATTGTGCAAGTTCTCCCACTTAAAAAGATGAGAGAGGCCTGTAATTTTCATCATAGGTACACGTCAACTATGACAGACAAATTGAGAAAAAAAATTCCTGAAAATCACATTGTAGGATTTTTAATGAATTAATTTGCAAATTATGGTGGAAAATAAGTATTTGGTCACCTACAAACAAGCAAGATTTCTGGCTCTCACAGACCTGTAACTTCTTCTTTAAGAGGCTCCTCTGTCCTCCACTCGTTACCTGTATTAATGGCACCTGTTTGAACTTGTTATCAGTATAAAAGACACCTGTCCACAACCTCAAACAGTCACACTCCAAACTCCACTATTGCCAAGACCAAAGAGCTGTCAAAGAACACCAGAAACAAAATTGTAGACCTGCACCAGGCTGGGAAGACTGAATCTGCAATAGGTAAGCAGCTTGGTTTGAAGAAATCAACTGTGGGAGCAATTATTAGGAAATGGAAGACATACAAGACCACTGATAATCTCCCTCGATCTGGGGCTCCACGCAAGATCTCACCCCGTGGGGTCAAAATGATCACAAGAACGGTGAGCAAAAATCCCAAAACCACACGGGGGGACCTAGTGAATGACCTGCAGAGAGCTGGGACCAAAGTAACAAAGCCTACCATCAGTAACACACTACGCCGCCAGGGACTCAAATCCTGCAGTGCCAGATGTGTCCCCCTGCTTAAGCCAGTACATGTCCAGGCCCGTCTGAAGTTTGCTAGAGTGCATTTGGATGATCCAGAAGAGGATTGGGAGAATGTCATATGGTCAGATGAAACCAAAATATAACTTTTTGGTAAAAACTCAACTCGTCGTGTTTGGAGGACAAAGAATGCTGAGTTGCAGCCAAAGAACACCATACCTACTGTGAAGCATGGGGGTGGAAACATCATGCTTTGGGGCTGTGTTTCTGCAAATGGACCAGGACGACTGATCCGTGTAAAGGAAAGAATGAATGGGGCCATGTATCGTGAGATTTTGAGTGAAAACCGCCTTCCATCAGCAAGGGCATTGAAGATGAAACGTGGCTGGGTCTTTCAGCATGACAATGATCCCAAACACACCGCCCGGGCAACGAAGGAGTGGCTTCGTAAGAAGCATTTCAAGGTCCTGGAGTGGCCTAGCCAGTCTCCAGATCTCAACCCCATAGAAAATCTTTGGAGGGAGTTGAAAGTCCGTGTTGCCCAGCAACAGCCCCAAAACATCACTGCTCTAGAGGAGATCTGCATGGAGGAATGGGCCAAAATACCAGCAACAGTGTGTGAAAACCTTGTGAAGACTTATAGAAAATGTTTGACCTGTGTCATTGCCAACAAAGGGTATATAACAAAGTATTGAGAAACTTTTGTTATTGACCAAATACTTATTTTCCACCATAATTTGCAAATAAATTCATTAAAAATCCTACAATGTGATTTTCTGGATTTTTTTTCTCATTTTGTCTGTCATAGTTGACGTGTACCTATGATGAAAATTACAGGCCTCTCTCATCTTTTCAAGTGGGAGAACTTGCACAATTGGTGGCTGACTAAATACTTTTTTCCCCCACTGTATAGCTCAATATCGTCAGCACCGAATCAAGGAGCTGGAGGTGCACTCCCCGCGAGAATACAGGGACACTTTTTTAGATAGAAACAACGGCTATAAATAAAAAGATCTGACAAGTTCGTAATAGTTTGTCTGCCCTTACTGCTAGAAGGCCTACATTGGCCAGTAGGACGTTTAAAGCGCTAAGCTTTTTCATTTTTTCTCCTGTTTGTTACTGTAAAATCATATAAAATCTCACTGATGCATAGACACCAGCACTGCTGGGAAATGGGATCGTCAATCATCAGCTCAGTGCCCCCATATTGGCCCCTCAATGGGACATGGTTGCAGCCAGGTTCCACACAACCCTTTCTGGATATAATCACCACGGATCACCACCTCAAGCTGAACCCTGGCAAGACGGAGCTGCTCTTCCTCCCGGGGAAGGACTGCCCGTTCCATGATCTCGCCATCACGGTTGACAACTCCGTTGTGTCCTCCTCCCAGAGTGCGAAGAGCCTTGGCGTGACCCTGGACAACACCCTGTCGTTCTCCGCTAACATCAAGGCGGTGACCCGATCCTGCAGGTTCATGCTCTACAACATTCGGAGAGTACGACCCTGCCTTACACAGGAAGCGGCACAGGTCCTAATCCAGGCACTTGTCATCTCCCGTCTGGATTACTGCAACTCGCTGTTGGCTGGGCTCCCTGCCTGTGCCATTAAACCCCTACAACTCATCCAGAATGCCGCAGCCCGTCTGGTGTTCAACCTTCCCAAGTTCTCTCACGTCACCCCCCTCCTCCGCACACTCCACTGGCTTCCAGTTGAAGCTCGCATCCGTTACAAGACCATGGTGCTTGCCTATGGAGCAGTGAGGGGAACGGCACCTCCGTACCTTCAGGCTCTGATCAGTCCCTACACCCAAACGAGGGCATTGCGTTCATCCACCTCTGGCCTGCTGGCTCCCCTTCCTCTGCGGAAGCATAGTTCCCGCTCAGCCCAGTCAAAACTGTTCGCTGCTCTGGCACCCCAATGGTGGAACAAGCTCCCTCACGACACCAGGACAGCGGAGTCACTCACCACCTTCCGGAGACATTTGAAACCCCACCTCTTTAAGGAATACCTGGGATAGGATGAAGTAATCCTTCTACCCCCCCCCCCCCCCCCCCCCCCAAAAAAAAATATTGTAAAGTGGTTAACCCACTGGCTATAGGGTGAATGCACCAATTTGTAAGTCGCTCTGGATAAGAGCGTCTGCTAAATGACTTAAATGTAAAATGTTAAATGTAAATGTAAATACAATACATTTTTGGACTCACCTTGTTGTGTTGTGCTCACTTGAACAGGAAGGCGGCGCGGCAGTCCTTCGTGGGTGTCACGATCGTCAAGCATAGAGGAGGACCAAGGCGCAGCGTGTGCAAAATACATCTCTTTATTTTGGAAGAGAGAAAAACACAAAACCGAACACTATCCAAAACTTACAAAACAACAAACGACCGTGAAGCTAAATAACGTAAGTGCACAGACAAGCAACAAACGTTCAACATAGACAATTACCCACAAACACATGATGCCCATGGCTGCCTTAAATATGGCTCCCAATTAGAGACAATAAACCACAGCTGTCTCCAATTGAGAACCAATCCAGGCAGCCATCAACATACAAACACCTAGACAAGACATTACCCCATTAAACCTACAAACCCCTAGACAAACCAAAACACATACTTCACCATGTCACACCCTGACCTAACTAAAATATGAATGAAAACAAAGATAACTAAGGCCAGGGTGTGACATAACCCCCCCCTTAAGGTGCGAACTCCGGGCGCACCAGCATAAAGTCTAGGGGAGGGTCTGGGTGGGCGTCTGTCCACGGTGGCGGCTCTGGCACTGGTCGTGGTCCCCACCCCACCATAGTCACTACCCGCTTTCGTAGCCTCCTCCAAATGACCACCCTCCAACTTAACCCCACTGGATTAAGGGGCAGCACCGGACTAAGGGGCAGCACCAGGATAAGGAGCAGCACCAGGATAAGGAGCAGCACCAGGATAAGGGGCAGCACCGGACTAAGGGGCAGCACCGGGCTAAGGGGCAGCACCGGACTAAGGTGGCCAAGCAACAGGACAGAATGGCGGAGCCTGGCTGGCTGG